TCGAAACGTCGTAAAATTATAATAAAATGTCCCTTGGAAACCTGATATTTGGATTTTCACTTCCTATCAAGAGCCTAATTCGCCGAATCGAGAAAAATAATAAGAAAATTGTCAATAAGAAATACTCTCTGGTCTTCAACGAAACCTGCATTAATTATATATATATATATATATTATGGATAAGAAAATAAAAATTTTAATATTAATTTATATCTATAATTAATGTTATATATAATTTTTAAATATTCATTTATATATATATATATCATGTATAAGAAAATTATAATTCGGAAATAGGTACACTCATTTATTTCTTCGGCTATTATGTTGAATATTTCTCAACTCATGGGCCTGGAAATTAGGGCAGAAGTTTTAATATTATTCATTTTAGAACAATACGGTCAAATTATTCTTTTGAAATATCACATAGCAGAATTTCAGTTTCATAAATATCTTTATTTTGTTTTATGAACGATCTAGTAATGAATGACAGTGATACGAAATTTCTTCTCTGAATATTTTAACCGACATTTTCCGATGAAATCTTTAAGGCTCTGAAAATTTTGACAATAAATGTTGTAAGTTGAAGAGAAAGTCACGAATTTAGCTGTTAATGTCAGTGATGCTGACTGCCCACTATACTTGCATATATTTACAATAATGCACTCGCATCCTTGCAACATCCTTGTAAGAGTGATTAAATTTTTGGCAGAATTGCAATTTCGATTACAAATTCTATAGATTCCAAAATATCTATGGTAATTCGCTGATTTATAAATTCGTTTTAAATTTGTTGGAAATTTTCCTGGTTGAGCATGTGGCAATTGATCCCACATGGCAGTTTGCCTCATCAAACTTAATGTCATGCTTATCATTAAATTTTAATGCATTAAATTATTGTTGATCGATGTTAATTTTGAATAGTGTTTCCAAAGTTACTTCGATAATTTTTATTTTATTTTATTTCTTTATTTTAGGGAACCTTTTTATATCTTCAGATGTTGTTCAAAATAACCCACGCAGTCTAACCTGTATACCCTTTATTTCCTACAATAAATTGATCGCTTCGTTTGAAGTGAGCTGCAACGAAGACACAATTGCACTAATGAGCGGTCTTTCAGGGAATAATGTTGTATATCTGTCGCAAAAATTTAGGCCCGAAAATATATTAATCACGTATATTTATTTATAAAATATATTTATCGCGTGTTTCATCTTCGAATGCATTCAGCGTCATCAATGCTGTTCATATCGGAACGCATATTGAGTTATCGACAGTCGAACAGGTGGTAAGGTTATCGTTTTTGTAATGAATACATTATGCGGAAAAAATTAGCCAAGCTACATTGCACGTGGGATGAATCCTGCAAGAGCCTTATGAAGCTGACTATATCTGCCAAACAGCCTTGCACCTCGGCAATCAAGTCATGCTAAAACTTCATCAAACTAACCATCAAGCAACAGCCTTGCACCTCGGCAATCAAGTCATGCTAAAACTTCATCAAACTAACCATCAAGCAACAGCCTTGCACCTCGGCAATCAAGTCATGTTTAAACTTCATCAAACTAACCATCAAGCAACAGCCTTGCACCTAAGCAATCAAGCCATGCTAAAACTTCATCAAACTAATCATCAAGCAACAGCCTTGCACATGAGTAATCAAGTCCCGCTTTATTTCTCTCTCAATTAGAGCAATTATGCATGAGCTTAATCTTGGTCTCATTCGAGCTGAGCTTAACCTTATTAACCTCGTGTAATTTACGTGCTGCTAATAAGTAAGCCCCAAGACACACTTGCTAATCTCGCTTCTTTGTCATTATCGGATGGAGGTTACAACGATTTCGGGTCTCGCAAGTAAATCTCATTTTAGAATTCAATTATCTGCATCAATTAAAGTTTTTTTGCTGTAATGGACTCCTGAAAACAAAGGAGTTCCTGTAATTTTGTTCTTCTATTCTAATTTGCTGAACTTGCTTCATTATTCCGTTCAAGCGAATTGAATTCAATGCTGATGGGATTGTCGACAAGTTTGCTGGATATTGTTGACTGAGATCCCTTTAATTGAATTGGATTGATTGCATTCTTGTTATTCATAGACATTTCACTTCTCCTTTGCAATTGATCTACTATTGAATACGCCTTATTTTGTAACTTAAATTTTCTATTGTGAGTCAAGTTAGACACGGGTGTGATAAATACCGTTTTCATCAAAGGCGAAAACATCATTCAATTACTGAATGAAAAAGTTTTCAAATTGAATTCATATGTTATTAAGTGAGCTGTCTTTCTGCATCATTTTTATTTCACCGGAAATATTTAGACTAAGAAGAAATGCGGCAAAACTGTGATTAAGTGAAATTGTTTAATGTGAAAATAATTTCATTAAAATTGCCTAATCAATAAATTGCAATGCATCGTTTTGCAACGTCTCAATTAATAGATTTACTTGTATTTCTACGAAATTTGATTCCGTAAAATTTGTTAATTTTGACTGTGAAATTCGTTAAATTTATCTAAGTGTGTGTAACAACTTTCACCGAATTTGATTGTGTTAGAAGTTTACCACCGAGTTGCTTTTATTTACTTCAATCATTGGAGCAAATTTTCATCTATCGTGTTCCCAATGCGTACTTTTCCATAGACATGTTTCGACTAGCTTAAGATAATGTTATTCCATAATATATTCATTGCCAGTGCTACTCCTCCATATTCCAGCGCATCATTTTATTTAATTAAAACGACCTCAGACCCAATTAAGTAGCAGCTCGAGAAAACAACGTTCACAATTACCGGACACTTCATATCTCAAATATTTACATAAGTCTCCCCACTCAATATTCACGTGCAGGATACGTTGCGTGACGGCAAGGTATTTCTATAGGCAGGAAATCATCCCATAGCCATTTATGAAACCATTCCCATTCAAGATAATGGAAGGTACGATGCATTGTATTAGCCAGGATGCCAAGACTACGGCCACATTAGCTGCCTAATAAACCTGGACTTATATTTGCTTCTCGCGTGCTTCCGCACCGAGAAACAATCAAGCCTAACAAGATTAGAGGCCTACAGCTGCTGCTGCTTTTTAGACCACGAGAAAAATATGGTTAAAAAACTAAGAAATAATGTCGTCTTATATAGGATGCAAGGTTGAAACGAGTATGGATTTTAGAGCGATGCAGAGAGTTAGATTCATGTATACATTTTATTTCATTTTTTCAGTGAAATTACATGGTTCTAGCTTTGAATAAAATTAAATATTACACCTAAGATCTACAGAAATTACAAGTTCAACGTTCTAATTTATAACTTCAGAATAAAGTCAACTCCCTGGAGATCTAATAAGTTAAACTTGATGTGATTAGAGCCGCTGTAACGCATTCATTTGCGTCGCTTATTCCCACTGTGGATTAACGCAATATAAGTAACAACACAGAAATGTTAATGGCTCCCATTTAAATGATTAAGAGAGAGTAATTATTCATCAGAGGGGGAATACACGAAGGGAGCCGTAATATTTATCCATGCACAAAGTTTCTTGTAAAAAGGTTTAATTTTTACAAGTTTCTGCACACACGGATCATTATTAAGTGTAATTAAATATGCCTTTTATATTAAACGACTTGATGATTATTTGTTTGATTAATATATGTTAAGGTAATAGCTTTTGAGTGTCTCCAGCATTAGAAGCTTTTATATCAAAGGGAAATTATGTCATTAATTATTAATTACAACATGAATAAACTTTAATTCTACTGAGAACCTTTTAAAGAGGAACATTCAAAAGAGATAACATTTAAGCCGATCCTCTATTTTTTCACCTAATTTTGTCAGTGTGACAGTTTTTTACCTTAAATTGTAAAAATATATTCTAGGATCGATTTTAGAAATGCATTGTAGTATCATCATCCAATCGTATTCGAATGCATATTTGTGATCTTCGTACCATTTACAACCTATTTAAGAATTTTTCGGGAACATTTATACTGCGCTTTGAAATTTTGATATCATGATACCCATGTATGTTCTTCTCTCTACTTGCTGTAGTGTTGTTTCTGTAAGAACAAAAAACACTAAGAAGACCAGGATAATTAGAAGGGTTGGTTTTTCTGACTCACTCTAACATCTTGCGTCGAGAAAATTTCGTTGGCGAGATTTGGCCGTGATTTCGGTGGCCACCGGTTGGCTAAAAGTCGGACACATACAATATTTCCCAGTTCGTACCTGGGTAGTGAAGGAATGAATGGGTTTACGTGGTTTTATTTGTAATTAGTTTTAAAGTGCGCCTAGAAAAATTGCCTACTACAAACAATCGTTATTTGTTTTAGCTTCGGCGGCGGAATACTGGCTTCAAGTTTTGGCCGAAGTATAACGGAATTCTCAGTTAAAATTAAAAAAAAAAGAATTCTAGCTGTAATTATCTTCGTTACACATGATCGCATATTACAGAATTTTTGGCGAGTGAAATTTTAGAGATTATGTAGGCAGAATTTATGAGTATTTAACGTTTTACGTGCATAATTGTACGGAATAACCTTACGATTCAGAAAAAAATTCAATCATCGCAATTAATAATACCCAGATTTCCATAGTATGTGTGTATCAGATTTCTATAGCATGTAGATTTTTATAGCATGTATCAGATTGTATAGCATATGTATCACCGATAACGGCAATCCTCGAAATAATAACAGTTATCAAAACTTTTTTCTGTGCACTTCATCTGCTTTCATCTGTCTTTCTTTTCTTTTGGTCTTCACCTGTCTCTTCTTCGTTTCTGTTTGTCCTCGCCTGTCCCTTCTTGTTTCTGTTGCTACTCACTTGATTTATCTTTGTTTCTGTTGCTATTCACTTGTTTTTTTCTTTGTTTCTGTTGCTGAAAACTTGTCCCTATTTCGTTTCTGTTCTTGTTTCCAATTTTGATACTTTTTTAATGTTGATAAAACAATGACTACATCTGATCACAAGCAACGAAATGACTATTTTTATTCTTCGGCAGGTCCGGCGACGTCGATGACGGCCGTGGCGGGCGGCGCCACGGAGCTGCCGTGCGACCATCGCTCGCCGGAGTCCGGGGATCCTGCGGTGCTTGTCCTGTGGTACCGCAGCGGCGTCCTCAAGCCCGTCTACAGGTGCGGTCCTACAGTTACTGTGGCACTAGTGTAGCGTCCTCATGCCCGTCTACAGGTGCGGTCCTACAGTTACTGTAGCACTAGTGTAGCGTCCTCAAGCCCGTCTACAGGTGCGTTCCTACAGTTGGTGTAGCACTAGTGTAGCGTCCTAAAGCCCTTCAACATGTGCGTTCCTACAGTTACTATAGCACTAGTGTGACGTTTTCATGAATGAAATGTAGGAAATTCTGACTATTTTGTATTGTAATGTTGAGCATTACTTGTGTTGTGAAGTTGAGGAGAAATTGGGATTTGTTGAACCATTATCGGCAGGATATGACTCGACCGTTAAGTTGGGGTAGAAAACCGTGAAAGCGAGTTTGTTTAAAGTTCGGATTGGCCGAGGATATCGAAAGGTCCGATCCTTGTGGAACTCGAATCGATCGCGGCATCTCTTGCTAGGCTCATTAAGTGAGCGCGACGTTTGCCTATGTAAGGACCCTAAAAATCGCGCCAAAAGAATTGTTTTATTGTGGTGTGAGCGTCCACCCTTCTCAAAAGCAGTCATTGAGACAGTACCCTTAAAAATGTTAAGCATTCAGGAAGTTTCTGCCACACACCACCTGCCATGAGGCCACCAACAATTTGGCCTCTTTGAAAGTCAGAGAGGTTTGCCAGTTATAGAAGGGTTGAGTATGTACATAGACACAAAAGTTTGCTAAAAATATGCGGGCAAGGATTAAGTATCAATTAGCAGCAGAAATAAATAATAAAACATAAAACATGCCACATTTTCATTAATTGGGTTGGCATATGCACTCGAATGTACTCGTCTATGGGTGAGTATGTACATACTCATCCATGCGTGAAATGTTGCTCTAAAAAACCTATTTAAGGTTTTATGTGACTTCTGTGTTCTTTGGTCTGTAGTGCGTATCCAATTCCTATTCCTACAATTGCCAAGTTTTTTACTATTTTAAATGCAACGACTCTTGTCTTGCTGACTTTAAACGACTTTATACTATACTTTCTTGCCGCGGTGCGATTCTCAATGGAGGATTGCTTGCAATGCTTGAAACGTCTTTCTTGGCTGCCACACTGCAGATCTTCCACAAAGACTAGCTTGATCTGGCTTTCTTTGCTCACGAAGCAGGCTTGTTTGCTTGTTTTCTTCACTCAGATCATCGTCAAGGACGCCACAAGCACATCGAGTTTTTCTTGCGAAAACTAACTTAGTAGCTAAATGCATTTAGCGATATAAGTGTTTCCGTGTATGTAAGGAAACATTCCTACAGAACAATAAGTGTGTTTCCTTAATTTACTGAAACTTATTGTGATTAAAGCAAGGCCTTGTTTCCTGTTGCCTTTTTAATAAAATTACAGAATGTTGTTCCGACTGATCTCCCTTCATTCGTGAGCTGGATTCACAATACACAATATTCAGCTCACGTCTCAGGATCAAAAGCGATAGCCCGAGAGTTTCAATTTGCTTCGCTGTAAAACAGAAATATATTTCCGTTCCTTCTTACCATTTCCTGACAGCAATCAAATCGTTCGATTTTTAGACCAACTCCACATGCTATCACTCAAAAGTAACACCAGAATTGACTTTTTACTTGCTTCTCAGAGTCTTCATTCTGATGAACGCACTCGTGAAGGCACAACAAGTTCAGGTTTCCTTCAAGAATCCGAATTCCAAACCAACTTCTTTTTGAAACTGATGCCTCAAGCGTCAGAACGAGCTGCCTGTTCGTAGCAGAACTTCTTTCTTGCTGAAGCTGCTCAGAGCTGCAAGCTTCACAAGTATAGTTCCACAAGGAGGCAACTTTCCAACTATACAAACTTGACAGTACACAGCTCTCTGAGTGCTGTTGCCAAACGCGTAGCCGATGAAACACTCGTGGGTGCAGGATGCCGATGTCTTTGATGTTGCTTGTTGACTGTAGCTATTCCAGCGAGTTACCCAACCCAAAGATCCGCAACTGATTTTGAGTACGATCACACAAAGCCTACTGCATATATCTTGCACCAAGATATTTGCAGTATACAGCATATATCTTGGCTGCAAATATTCTGGCACGAATTTCCTTGAATAAATTTGTTACCTTAGGTTCTAGTTAACCCTCCACCGCCGTATGTGACTCTCCGTTATCCGTTAACATAACTTTCAACTTAAATTATACGTAAAGTATTGAGTGTATAAACCTGAGGACGTTTGTACGCAACAGAGAACATTTTTAAAGTTGTCGTACGTGGCGGCAACCATCAGTGCAAGTCATTTTGCGCTCACTAGAACGTATCTTTTTTTGGAAGTAGGCTTGTGACAATATTGCTCCGGTTACTCATGTCAGGCGGTAGAGGGTTCAAAGCTATTCAAATTCAGAGGTCAGAGCCTGTGGAACTTGTCCAGAATGCGTTTACCCCAATCACGATTCGTTCTCAATATTTAATAAGTCGTGTTGGCTTTTATTAAAAAATGGGTTGTGTGTCAATAAGTTGATATTGGCTGCTAAGTAAGAATTGTTAGTTATATTTTATTCAATTAAAAATTATGAGCCGATTATGAATGCATGTTTTTAGACAACTGTTTGGGTGTTCGATGCATGGTCTATCTTTCTTCGTCTCTGCGCCTATTAAGGACTCATTAGCTACCATTAACATAGACGAGTACATTTCTCTTGAATTAGAAATGATCAACAACAGATTCTCTGAGGGATTTGCTTGTTTACAATGGCAAAGCAATTGTGTGAAAAAATCTGTGCGATAAAGCACCACATTGTGCATTTTTTTTACTTTCAATTAAATATCCTTCACCACACTCTGTCACGTGGTCATTTCTACTGCCAATTTGCAGGAGACTAATTGGGCACAATTTTTCTTTCGTTTCGATGAGTCTAAAATTAAGATCCAATATGGGCTACATTCCTGTTCTTAAATATTCATATGCATCTCGAATTCTAGTAGCAGTTTAGTTGCGAATCTTCGTCTTCCTGAAAGTATGCACAGAAGGATGGATCTTGAACCTGCTTTGGTCGTTGAGGCAGCCGCTGAATGGTCTTAATGCCTCAAGTAATCCGCCAAATGAACTTCTCTTTCCCTCCATCGAGGATTTTGAAAGACCGCTACCTGCACCGGAACATCTGACGCTCAAGAAAAGACGAATTAAAGGGCTCTTGAGAGCCCCACTTCTCGAGAACTTGATGCAAGGAAATAATTATCTGAGGGTCTCAATTGGGTCCCACATCAAAGACCAGAGGAACAGGCCATTCTAAAATCTCTGCTAATTAATATGGCATAAATGTCAAGTCCAGTGATATTTTGTTGTGCTGAGTTTAAGCTTCTGGGAATTTTTAGTTTTGTGACTCATTGTTGCCGAGGAATTCTTACTACAGGTTCATACCTAATACCCTCTATACCGCCTGACATGAGTAACCGGAGCAATATTGTCACGCGCCTACTTCCCAAAAAGGATACGTTCTAGTGAGCGCAAAATGACTTGCACTGATGGTTGCCGCCACGTAAGACAACTATAAAATGTTCTCTGTTGCGTACAAACGTCCTCAGGTTGCTACACTCAATAGTTTACGTATAATTTGCCGCCACGTACGACAACTTTAAAATGTTCTCTGTTGCGTACAAACGTCCTCAGGTTGCTACACTCAATAGTTTACGTATAATTCAAGTTGAAAGTTATGTTCCCGGAGAGCGACATACTACGACGGTAGAGGGTTACTATATAGTGTTGAAAACATAATTCAAATACGTCTTCATTGTGGATTCATTAACGGATGCAAAATTTTTTGTTCTCGCTTTCATTACTTATTTGTGAATAATTCCACTTATTGTTGCAAAAATTACATGAAACTAACAATTCGGCGTCGTAGAATTCATTTACTTAATTCAAATTTTTTCAATTTACTTTAAAAAAATCATTCGTCTATAAATTTTTGCTACAGCCAGTTTTTTTACAGTATTTTGTCGGTCTAGGCCCTCGACTAATTCACGTGTTCAACTTGTTATTTGTCCTGAAACTGTCGAGATATCAGTCGTTTCCTCCCATGTTCCGTCCTCCGTTAACACCTCGGCGCTGACATCGATAAGCCGTCAAGCTTTTGCAGCTTGTTACGCAGGCCATCTAAAGCGACACGTTTTCGCATTTCCCGGATAATTGGGCGATGCTTTTTGTTGACACTTGATCACAAGTGCGATAGACAAGGCCTGACGTGGTGACACATGGAATCAGTTCTTTAGGGAGATTGTTACTCGACGAGTGAACTCATTCGACGAATATTTGCCCGTCCATACAACATCTGGTGACAAACGACACTGCCGTGTTTCGATCAAGTCTTGCATGGCCCATGCATTATTGAGAACGTTGCTGCATAAGCGATATTTCGACGGGTTTGGGTGATGACACCAACTGTAGTAAGCCTTCCGTATTGCAGATTGGAGATATCGTGATATCCTCATTCTCTTTCTATGGTATCTGTACTATCACGTCAAAAACCTGTTGTAGAAATTGTTCTTATAGTTGGGATCTATTGCGTTACTCTTACAATGCGATGTACAAGTACTAACGTTGATGAATTTTATTTGATAAACGATGAGAGTGATCGATCTTTTGATTTTAAATATTCTTAATTTGATTTCAAGTATTTCACATTCGCGTAACATGTGCTAAATGATTGGTGAGCCCTGTATGTTTCAGTGAAAACTCTTCACTTCAAATCAAACATTCTGAGTGACATTATTGAATAATTGCAACATCTGCATAAAAAATTCGTTGTTTATGCTCCTCTTGCTGCTATGCATTGGTTAATTATTCTCATCTTCACAGACGACTGAGAATGAGGCCGCTTTTATTATCAGCATTATAGGAAGCAGCTCTAGAAATCGCGCTTGCGTTTTAGGTGCAATTTTGAATGAAATCTGCATGTGAACCATCAATAGTTATCTCAACTGTACCAACTTTAGCCTCAACTGTACGAACTTAAAGCTGAATGTTCGTTGCTACGAGAGACGTTTAATAATATAAGAAGATCATTGAGTGAGGAGATGTAAAAAATATAAATTGGTAAAATTCAACATTATATATACGCAATCAACAACAACATTTGTGAATAATTCTTGACGCAAACTATCACAGTCGTCTTTGAAAAGAAGTGTAACATTTTAATGATTTAAAATTAATGGTGTTTGACTCTAAAAAAGAGGATTCATCTCTTAATTGTATGGCTCTCGTGGTCACAGTACTCAACAGCTTATCGAATTAGACTAGTTAGATTAATTATTTATTGGTAGTACAGACAAATTAAATAGAGCTCACCATTTTAAAATATTTTCCTTTTAGATTCCATTTAATTGTTAGTTCGCTCGTTTGAAATGTATCGTTATTTAATCTCCTAAATTACCAATATTCGCCATTAGGTTAATGATTTCCATCACCTCGTTCAGAATCGTCACATGTCTTCAAGATCTTCACAAGAAGTTATTACCGTGACAGGTTCGACAACTCTTCTTGCACCAAAGAAAATGTCTGACCAAAGAAAGTCTTTCGTCAATTTTCGAAAGCTGGCAGCTATTCCCACTCTCACGACGGGATTTGCATACCATTAGATTTAAATCTTCAAACAGCTTTTTCAAGCCAGCTTCGTATAAAATAGGAGCTGCAGTACGCTTCTTTTACCGGGTTTTTAGGCCGAACTGAAATCAGGAAAAGTGCGTCTCATTATGGAAAGCAATACTGGAGTCGAAACGTTCATGAAGAACTTGAGATAAAGCTGTCAGTGAGAAATATAAAATGCTCTGAACTATTGATTTGATTCATAACAACAAAACCTAATACAAATACTAACAAAATTCATATTTAATTACCTTAATAATTCATAAAGAGGCAAAAAAATTATGATATAAAGTAATTTCGTTCGGTGATTTAGATTCGATAAGTCGTGCTGCTTATTTTAAGTCTTAAATTTTTTCTATTCATCAACACATATGCTCGACATATGATTTGTCATCAATAATTGATCGCCCAACAGCTCAATAGAAGATCTTTTCAATTCTTAGGTCTATCATCGATTTGTTTGTTGAAAAAGGAGTAGAAAACTCCTTTATAAAACGTTTAAAATTTTTGTACCGATATAATGGTGAATTGATTTTGATTCGATGAGTTGAATTACCGTTTTTTACAGTAAATTCGTGACTATAGGTTGCATCGCTAAAATTTATGGCTGATTTATATCAGATAATCTTCCCGCTTCTGTTGTTGAATATTGCATTTTATTGCAGAATTTATCTCAATGGCTCATCTTCACTGCCACTGCAACCTGGTAGTCCCAAGTCATTAATGATATTAATGATAAACACATGGTTTTAAAGTTGATAATTTCACCATTCCATTGGCCAAATGCCAGAATTGCAGCAATATCTATCAGGCCCGACCAGGTCTTCTTGCAGCCTGTGTACAAGTCATTCGTGCCACAAAATTGCTTCCTGAAACACTACTTGTCCATTTATGGCCCCGATGGCCTTTAACTTGACAAATTTGCCATAAAATTCGCTTAGTTACGACCATAAACTTCCCTAATAAATCTAGAGCGTTTTTATATTTAGGGTCTTGCAGCTAGACATTGCGCGATGCTACCAGACTGTCTATGTCGCAGAAATTGCTAGCGTTCGATTTGAATGATTAGATCTGGATTCCAAATACAATCTATTTTTCATGATCTATTCCGAAGCACGAAATAAATTTTACCAACGAATATGGCTTTCGTTTGTTCAAAAATTTGTACAGGAAACGAAAATACGTAAGAATATTTTCTTAGAAGTAATTTTTTATGGTTCAAATATTTTGTAGGCAAATCATGATTGAGTCTGAGCCGCAAGAATAGCCGCAAAAATAGCTTTTATTAAACGATAATTTGTAAATCTTTCTCAAAATGAAATATTAATATCTTCAAGTAAGGACCCTGCGTGACCCATATTTTTAGGTTACCTTTTTTAATCGGGTCATGCATTTATCTGTATTATTATTTTATTATTTATATTAACTGTAGTGGTAATAGTTATTATTTTTTGCGTTTTCAGGCTCCCATTTTGTTTGCCTTTATTTCGGCCTGAAGGTGATGAGATTAAAGTCCGCTTGAAAATCATCTCTCCAAAGTGTAATGTGACATGCTGTGAATTGAACTTGTTTTCCTAAGGTCACGCGTTCGATTAAGAGAAATTCAGATTTCAGTATTTAAATTGCGCTTTGGTATTGCGATGAATCTTAAATTGCGATGAAATCGAGATGAGTTCTGTGTAATTCCTACCAAGTTCCTTACTACATCTTCTCCAAAAATACACGAGACTAAAATTTCATGCAATGCTGCCATTAAAATTTTAATTGCACGAGAAAGGGATCTCTAACGAGAATTTCCTCTCAATTTTCTTCGTAAATTCTATATCACTGTGGCCACTTTATTAGGGAACTGTAAACGAAAAATTAAATGTTTCGTTTCTAACTTCGGTGAGCGGAGAGTGGAACGAGGGATTATTGTAAGAGATTTTTGAAAATTCGGGATTTATTGTAATTTCATGTGTCGTCCAAAACCCGCGATACAGTGCATCTGTAAAATATTAATAGAATAAATAAAATTACCGGAAAATCTATCTCGATTATATTGAATTTATGTTTTATTTTACGTGACCTCTAAATTACATAATAAATAGAACTTGATCAACCACTACATAATGGAAGCAATTTTAACAGCTTGATAATGTAAATATATTAACGATATAATATATAAAATATAATATTAGCGCTGATCGAAAGCGTAAAATTGCGTTGGGGAAGGAAAACTGGAAAATTGCCGCTATATATTCAACTACTCTTTATTTGAATTCCGGAATAGAATTACGCACAGCATCGATTACACAGGAATTTAATTAAAAACCTGTACCTGAGCTCAGAGAAAAGTTTTAGCCGCCGTCTTCAGCATGTCTCAGGCTTCAGCTTTGCACAGTATTTCTCTACTCCGTTGACTACGCAAGCCATCAATGCATCGCAGTTTTGAAGCGTGAGTTTACTTATGAAACAATTGAATGGTTTTATAGCGTCTGCTTGGAATGTATAATAGTCTTACATAACATGCAATACATCTTTTTTATATTTATTTATTTAATTTTTTCATGAATTATTTAATTTTTGACAGTTGCTATAATCCAGTATTGCAATTAAGCTGATTCAGCTCCGCTTTAGAGCAAATTCAGCCCTGCTTGGCGAACCTGTATAACTCTGTATTCCAGCACTACTCCAAAACTGTTTGAAACAATATGGTAACACCATCTCAAGCAGCCACAATTATCCCTTTAAAAATCGTATTAGTCTTTTTTGGTCGACTGTTGCAATCCAGTTACGACCCCATTTCAAACGCCGGTAAAAACAACTTTATATCCCTACATACGATCGCGGTAATAACTCGCTTCTCAATCTGTTAATAACTTGTTTATTAAAATGAATCAGTACTGTTTATCAAGCAGAGACAATCCTTTTTTCAGGTGATGACAATCATTTCATTCAAGCTCTTATAAAATCGATCTCGTAATCCAGCATAACCCCGTATTCCGAGCTGCTACAATTTTGTCTCATCACACTAGTATATTCCTTACCATATTTCTACAGTACACTTTTGACATAGTAATTTTGTTATTATGTGGAATTCTATAGGCAACCTTATCATATCAGTAATTATTTTATTATGTGGAATTCTATAGGCAACCTTTTCATATCAGTAATTTTTTTATTATGTGGAATTCTATAGGCAACCTTATCAAATCAGTAATTTTTATTATGTGGAATTCTATTGGCAACCTTTATCATGTCAGTAATTATTTTATTATGTGGAATTCTATAGGTAACCTTATCGTATCTCATGCATTCATTCATTAAATAGTTTTCGCGTGTATCTAACTATGAATTATTTATCCCGCGTGGCCGGTAGCTACGACGCGCGCGGTGACGCCGCGTCGCACTGGATGAACTTGGACGTCGTGGGCAACCGCGCGACGTACGAGCCTCCTAGGAACGCGCTGCTGCTCCGGTCTGTCGCCGCCTCGGACCAGGGCGTCTACCAGTGCAGGGTCGACTTCAGGACCAGCCCTACTCTCACCTACACCATCAACCTCACTGTCATTAGTGAGTATGTAGTGATGATAATGTAGTGTGAGCCCTATTCTCACGTACACCATCAACCTCACAGTCATTAGTGATGATCAGAGGTGGGCAGTAGCGCGCTACATGAAGCGGTAGCGGTAGCGGCGCTACATTTAAGCAATTGTAGCGAGTATATAGTGATGATCATGTGCAATGAGTCTTACACTCTCACCTACACCATTAACCTCACAGTCATCAGTGAGTATGATGATAAATTTCAGGACCATTCCTACTTTCAGCAACGCCAACGACATGTCATTAGTGAGAATGGTGACTAATAGTGATGATAATGTTAGCAGAAACTGTGCGTTTACTCCTTCTTCTGTCATCAAACTTGGTGTTGATTGTTGAAATAATATGTTATATGAGCATTTTATACTATATCACAGGATGATTCACGGGAACTTCCTGATTTTAATGCTCGATAAAAAAAGAACTAGTAAAGATATTATTACAATATAAATTCTATTGAAAAAAACATTAGCTGAATTTTGGATCATATAGTTTTATAGATGACATCGAACAGATGACGGCCTCCATTGTTAATGCATTCCGTTTGTCAATTTTTAAAGTTCCGTTCAACTTGCCGAAGCATATCGACGCGTTTGTAGGCGATGGCCAGGCGTATGCTGTTCTTCAAATGAGATAGAGCCCTTGGACAGTCATTGCAAAGAATTTATTAAAGATAACCCCATGAAATAACACGGAGCCAAATTGGGAATCGGGCTGGCCAAAGAAGGCCACCTCTCGGGTAGACGAGGCACTCTGCAAAATATTGTCTATGTATACGCAGAACGCCTCTCAAATTCTCTCTCCGTTTTCGGTTGTTGTGGCAGTTCGCTGACCTCCAGAGACTCTTGAAGTCACACTTCCACTCGCCCTAAATGTGTTCACCCACTTAACAATCGTGTGTGAATACAGATCCTAGTATGGTTGAGACAGATCCTGCTAGTTGAGCAGCGATATAATTGAACGGCCATTAGAAAAGTACGCCTCGACAGCAAACGCACACTGATCACTTGTCCAATGAATATTGGCAACTTACTAAGCAGGAGACAAAACTTTATAACCTTGCCTCTTATATAAAATACTCTTTACTTTTTTCCTACAACATCTGGCTGCTTGTCGTGAAATACAAAACAGAAAGTTTCCGTGAATCACCGTGTATATACATTGTTCCTTTCATGATGGTTTATAAATTATATTTATATAGTGATTTATGAAATAGAGTGATGTTTTCTCCTACCTCGTCTATTGATCCTTGTAACCAGCCAACAGTTTAATTCTACTGTAATAATCTTAATACCCTCTAGCAAAGGTCATTGCAAGATAAAAATTTTTTTCCACTCTTTGGACATATACAACTTACTGCATGACATCACCAGCTTACAACCTTGATGCCATTTAATTCCCTTCATTTAGCACGAAGACATCCCGAGCTGCCGGAGATCCTGCCGCCTGTCGATCTTAATTTGTTAATTAAGCTTGCAGACGAATCGCATTTTTATTGTTGTGAGTTTTGCGCTGGAATTCCGTTGCCGCGATATATTGCGTGCGCTTCTGTCTTCACATAACGAGTCTTATTGAATTCATGCAGTGTAATCGAATAGATTAATGGATGATTACTTCAGACATATTTTGTGCCCGATTCCGATGATGTTATCGAATGATTAAAGTTTTGGGATTAGTTGAGGAACTCGCTCCGTTAATTCGTACGCTGCTTGAATGAAATAATCCAGGATTATTACGTAAACGAAGATGCATCCGAAAATCTTTTTACCAAGCCAAGGCCCGATAACTGTACGTTTAATTTCCTGCGTAGTATTGAAAATTTGATGAGATTTCACCAAGTTTTCTAATTAAGGAGATAACCGCGGAGGAAAGTTTCATTGGACCTCGAATTAAATTATACGCAAACTATATAACGAAAAATTTTGCTATACGTTATCATTTGGATATTTTATCATTAATCTTTGAATTGGATTACGTTCTTCACGAATAAATTCGTGTGATGAGCCTGCAAATTCTAATTTAAATTTATAATATGTAAAATTTCCACAATTCCTCCGTAGGAATTTCATTGAGAAATATACATAAAAACATGTATGATAAAATAATCTGCTTCATTTCTAATGAACATTGCTTACGTTCGTCCGAATATATCGATCATTTATTTAGTTTAATAATTTATCAAGAATAAGTAATCAATTTTAATTTGACATGCAAACTAAGTCGTGGAAATCGGGAAACGAAATCAAGGCCGCTATTAAATTATTGACGCATCGCCGTTTTATTGCAGACCCATTCATTAAAATTGTCAAACGCGCAAACAAATCTTGGATTCATAAATTGACAGAATGGCTAAGAACTTTAGCTTAAACTTCAAATGATTATAGCCATCGGGATGACTAGCTCTCATCTCCGCTAATGTGAGAAATATTTTCAATGTGATATTGATAATTTAGATGAACGTTAATTTGTTCGCTCATTTATAAGAAAATTTCGACGCAAAGGTAAATGTAAAAAATTTCGCATACGATGTAGCCCCGCGCACAGACTAAAGTTAACTATAATTAATTGTTATATTGCAGTTCCTCCTCAGCGCCTGACAATTCTATCTCCTGACGGCGCTGAGGCTGGAGCAACAGTCGGTCCCATAGTGGAAGGGGAAGCCCTTCGACTTTCTTGTGAGGCTGAAGGTGGTGACCCTTCCCCTACGGTCTCATGGTGGGAAGGAGATGTCCCTTTTGGTGACAACTACAATACACGTGAACCCATTCATTACATGGACCCTACGTATCCTACCTTCAGACACATCACTTATCCTACCTACCAACACTCGAAGCTTATGTTCGGTGACTACGACGCTACGGTGTCCAGCGCCGGCTTCACGGTATCGACTTCTAGAGAAAGGGGCATCTTTAATAACGAAGTAAAAGAAGAAAATGAAGTTTTTATATCCAGCACCGTTATGGCCACTCCACGCAGGGTGGTCAATACTCTTCTCATTGACCCGCTCAAGAGAGGCTTCCTAAACACTGTCCTGACGTGTCGAGCTAGTAACACTAATCTTAGTGCACCTCTGCAGACATCCGTCACTATTGACATGATATGTGAGTGCTAAAATTCCCACTTTTGAATTATTTTATTGTTTTTATTGGTAATTTTATATTATATGTCATTTTAACGCCAATATATGTTATTTTAATATGTTATTGAACATGTAATTTATTACATTATTTGTTATTTTAAAAATTTATAGAACATTGTTTTCCGTAAACCATGTTTATGTGTTTATTACTTTTTTTACACTTTCATTTCCTAATATTTAAGACGTTTCATTCAATTATTGTTATGAAAATACGAAGTATTTTTTCATCATATTCGGTAATTTGATACTATAGTGTGGGAAAGTATAATGGCATTATGTTTCAGTTTTATTCTGCTGTTTTTGCTTCATGTAAAGGAATATGTATATAGTTTTCGTCCTGAGAAATGATTGCGTCCAGCTTTACCGAGATCTATTCTGTATCATCTGCCCCGATGTTCTTGCAAGCCTAGAAAAAAGCAATAAATCGATCATTAAGTTACTGGAATAATAAAGTTGAAGGGCTTTCACCGTGGCCTCAACATTTACCTGCTTATTTCCCTAGTAACTTGAATAGTTAATCTGGAATAACAGAAATGTGGCTCGCTTGCTTAACAAAAATACTCATTTATAAACAAAATGAACCCGTCAACTCATTTAATACCAGGAAATTTATTCAGAGTTAAATAGAAGTGCAGGTTCTCAGTAGGAAGAGTCGTTTCCACTGGAGAGCTGATTGACTTCCAGTATGGAAATGATATATAGCGACCACAACGAGTTTCACAGATGTCTTTTCCTCAATGAATAATTCATTTAAAAAATTTTTTAAAATAATTTTCCATAATTGTTTAAATTATTATTCAATTATTTATTTGCTAGGGCGCAAATTTTCCGCTCGACGTTAATTATAGATATGAATACTAAATCAAAATGATGCAAAATTACAAAATTATACGTTTATCAATAATTATTCTCACATGAGTTGTACATGATATTTAAATGGAGAGATTATTTCACCAGGAAGATATTTTCTTTCTGCCACAAAATATACCATTGTTCTGCAATGTTGTTAGGTGTATTGTCTCAAATTACAATTGGCATGCTGCTCTCGCTTTTTTCTGGAAAACAATTAGGCAATCTATGAAATTTGGAGCATAAATTTTAATCGTGTTTTTTTCTATTTTGGACAAAATAAAATGTTAAAAATATTACAAATTTCAATTACAGTTTTATATGAAACATATACTTGAGTATTCATTATGATTATAGTGTCCCCGCTGCACGTGAAGCTCCTAACCTCCCACGAGCCACTAGTGGTCGGAGGCAGGAGCTACGAGATGGTGTGTCAGGCTGTAGGAGGAAGACCTCCAACCAATCTGCTCTGGTTCCTTGATGATGAACCCCTCAAGAACTATACAACGCAGGTGAGATTTTTTATTTTAAGCTTGTGTATTGTTTAATTTTGTAACTATAGTCTAATTTTGTAACTTATCTGCTCTGGTTCCTTGACAACGAGTCACTCAACAACTATACAACGCAGGTGAGATTTTTTATTTTAAGCTTGTGTATTGTTTAATTTTGTAACTATTCTGCTCTTGTTCCTTGATGATGAACCGCTCAAGAACTACACAACGCAGGTGAAATTTTATTATATTTTAAACTTGCGTATAGTCTAATTTTGTAACTTATCTGCTCTGGTTCCTTGACAACGAGTCACTCAAGAACTACACAACGCAGGTGAGATTTTATTTTATTTTAAATCGTGTATATTGTTTAATTCTGTAACTAATCTGCTCTGGTTCCTTGATGATGAGCCGCTCAAGAACTACCCAACGCAGGTGAGATAATTTAAATTAAAAGATAAAATTCTAATGAAAGTAAGTGGATCGAGGAAACACATTCAAATCGCACTTAATTTGCTGATGCAAGTAATACATTTGCTCGTCGTACGTAGTGTCTCAACGCAACAAAAAATATTTAAACTCTACGTTAGTACTCATTTCAACAGTCAAGTCCGTAGATGAATTATTCAGGAACACATCTACGGAGTTACTGTAGGCGGTAAGAAAAGTTTACTAATGAGCATCAATAACCAGACAGACAGATTCATGCGCTTCTGGGGAATTTTACTCCATAAACTTTTTGCTCTGATTATCATAACTTTCAGTGCACAAAACTTTCTGTACTACAAGCATTGAGTCTTTTATTGGCTCTCGATGGCCAAATACTACACACATACTTTACAATGTTAGCGTATTGTGAGTATCACAATTTAATTCAATATGTTGGATCATATATCGGAGAATTTTATTGTGGGATAATCACAACTGTGTCTTCGAGAAACTTTATTCTTTTTGAAACACTTTAGACTCTGTTATATTATTCCTAGAGCAAAATATTAGAGTTTTTGAGTGCATATGTGATATTTTTCTAAGTTATTACATTTTCTTTCTGATATTTTATCCTAACTTAAGGTGCACTTTTTATTTCAAATATTATCAATTCAATATATATTAATCAATAACTGGCTAATATGTGGAGTGTTGGAAGCCAACGCCTGGCTGATTCACTTAATTTTTTACCAAGATTTAGTGCTGAAGACAGGCGGGCGCTCATTCATTATGAACGATTTTTTCATTAATCTTCTCAAATCGACGTCAAACGCTCACTATTTGTGAAGCAATAAATAAGTTAAAATATTAATTATCATCAAACTTTCATCATTATCGGTCATTCAACTGTCACTGAAAGCCCTGTGTTAAAGCTTCACTTTATTTCTATTGGACTTCACCTGGGCTCAAAGTTTTCTCGTAAGAAGACAATGAGCCTTCAGAATACCCAACTTATTTTACACGTTCGATGAAGCAGCAAACATTGAAGCAGTAAAAGTTCGTGAGTGAAGCACACCCGTGAACTGCTGGTTTACTATACGTAGGTAGTAGGAGTTGTATTAATCAGCAACCGTTACACTGCCAAATAATTAATTTAATAGTTATGATTTCCTATTAATTAAATGATATACTAGCCAAGTATATTAGGCGCGGATGAAAATAGTCGCATTTGTCCGTTGAGCCAAACTCGATTAGCCTGTGACTTAGGTGAAGGGGAGAAATAGCAGACATTTTCTAGGTTTTTAGATCCTTGGTGGCATTCAAAAATTTTTTTAAACGAATTTCATATTTACAAATGAGAACAGTCGAAATTTTCCCCCATGTCAGTTGAAGTGATGCAAGCAATGAGTCCGCAATTTGATGATGTAAATGGATTTTTATTCCTGCGAATGCATTTCTAAAATTGTCAGTAATGATGGAGATAGCAGGTAAATTTGTGTCTCCAATGTTTACGACGAATATAATGGTCATAATTGTTATATGATTGCCGCAGTCGAAATAGTGTGAATAATTGAAGGTGAAGTCACTTTTTATTTGCTTATATTTTATGTTTATTACAATTAAAATTTTTTACTCTGATGCAGAACGTATTTGATTAGTAGCATGAGGTACAATTTTTAAATTTTTATACATATCGAAGTTCATTTAACGGAAAATTCTTATATCTCATTTGTACGCAGCAGGATAGTCAACTAATTTACATGATAAAGTTGGAATTAGTGAACAAAAATTTTTCACCAACTGGTAAACCTACTGACAACATCCTACGGTCATGTGTGCTTTGACTTTCGTTATTGACTTAAAAAATTATGTCGGTTTTACAGTATAACTAAAATTACGAGCAAAATCACGAATGTTGGAAATTTTTGCTTTTCATCGCTAAATCTGTTTTTCAGCTGCTGGGTTAGTTTTTTCAAAAATTTATTTATTTCTTTAAATTTTAGACAAATTTATGTGATTCTATCGAATACGTGCAGTATATTAACTAATTTATAATCTGATAACATAAAATTTGCAGTAAACTTCTTATATTTAGTTATAATGTTAATTGGTTTAGTATATTTATTGCTGTAACACTTTAATTGTGTTTAATAATTAGAAATGTTTAGGTAACTTTACGTGGGATAATCCAAGTTTGGGGATAAAACAAATTCAATATTATATATTACTTGATATTATTATTTAAGGCTATCATTTATTCAAACTTGTGGGAAGTGGCGTCTGCAATAATTATAATACAATTCACTGTCGTGCTTTTTAATTCGTAATACGGAAACTAGTTATTATGCTAGTTTCAACAGCTTTAATATTACTATTCGATATTATTTTCATTTCTATTGCTTTACTATATTCTATTGTCTCTCCATCTTTCTATAGTGTCACTCTGCAGTCCTGCGCTTTGGAAGCTTGACGACTTCCTATAATCTTGTTTTACAGTAGTTACAAAAATAAATTCAGATGCTTCTTCTGTACAGATTTTGATGATGGTATAAAATATAAGTTGACTTTATGCATTAATATTTGTTCGCGTAGATTTCAGAATGTTGTACAATAGCAAGCTGAACAATATGTTAGCTTCCGAACAAAGTTGACATGTGTACTAACGCGTAACAAGATGTTGTGGAGACGACTCATGCTCATGATTAGGTGCAAGTGTACAGAAAAGCTATCAGAAGGAATGCTCTATGATTTACTTAGTCTACGAGAAGAAAAGTATCTTAGTGAAAACATTCGTGTCACAAGTCGAGGGAAGAACAGCGTTCGGGACCAACAACACACAAAATAAACAATAAAGAATTAATTATGATATTTCTTGATCTCTTTCTTACGAACAAATATATTTATCATCCTATATTTACATTAATGAGACGGACGATCGATGAAAGTTATAAATTAAAGAGAATGGATTGTTTCTACACAAAACGACAGATCAGAATTCCTGTGTTTGGAGCATCTCTATAGCAACAATATGTACAGCAAACCATAACACCGTGGTGAGGCAGAAGAAGACTTTACTCCAACAAGAGTTTCTGATATAATAAACAACATTACCATCATTGTTTTACTCCAACAAAAACAATGCAGCAATATTTAACATTACTAGCATTGTTTCACTCTAACAAGACGTAATGCAACAATAATCAACGATACAAGCTTTATTCCACTCAAAGAACCGTAATGAGACAAAATCAACATTACCATCATTGTTGACTCCTACATGACGTAATTCAACAATAATCAACATTACCATCATTGTTTTACTCCAACAAGACCTAATACAACAATAATCAACATTATCAGTATTGTTCCACTCCTACAAGAGATAATGCTACAGTAATCAACATTACCATCATTGTTTCACTCCAATCAGACTTAATGTAACAATAATCAACATTACCATCATAATAATAACGTTACCATCATTGTTTACTCCTACAAGACATAGTGCTGCAATAATCAACATTACCATCATTGTTCTAACAAGACGTAATGCAACAATAATCTACATTACCATCATTGACGTAATACAACAATAATCAACATTACCATCATTGACGTAATACAACAATAATCAACATTACCATCATTGTTTACTCCTACAAGACGTAATACAACAATAATCAACATTACCATCATTGACGTAATGCAACAATAATCAACATTACCATCATTGTTCTAACAAGACGTAATGCAACATTACCATCATTGTTCTAACAAGACGTAATGCAACAATAATCTACATTACATCATTGACGTAATGCAACAATAATCAACATTACCATCATTGACGTAATACAACAATAATCAACATTACCATCATTGTTTACTCCTACAAGACGTAATTCAACAATAATCAACATTACCATCATTGACGTAATTCAACACTAATCAACACTACCCTCATGTTCACCTAACAGATCAGCCGTGACGGCAACGTGACGACGAGCGTGCTCACCATCACACCGGCGGCCTCCAGTCTGGGGCGTCTGCTGACGTGCCGCTCACAGCCGCCCCACGCGCGCCTCCAGCCTCTGCGCGACAGTTGGCCGCTCCTCGTGTATTGTGAGCCTCATTTAATTTATTGTTACCTAATTATGTATTAAAGATGATATGATGGTGTATTGTTAGCCTCATTCATTTTTATAATATGTAACCTAATTATATATTAAAGAAGAGCCTCATTTATTTTATTATTTGTTACCTAATTATATATTAAATATGATATGATTGTGTATTGTGAGCCTCATTTAATTTATTACTCGTTACCTAATTATATATTGAAGATGATAGTATTGTGAGCCTCATTTATTTTATTATTTGTTGCCTAATTATATATTAAAGATGATATGATTGGGTTTTGTGAGCCTCATTTATTTTATTATTTATTGCCTAATTATATATTAAAGATGATATGATTGTGCATTGTGAACGATCTTTAATTTATTATTTTTGGCTTGATTTGGTATTACTGGCTATACGCTTATGTATTGTGAGGTTTATTCAAGTTACTCAAGTTATTCTTTGCTGTTTATGTTGTGTCACCGATAATAGTGCACCTAACATATACGGTTTTGGTGAATATTATTTTTTCCATTGTTTTTCTTCTGAAATTTATTATGTAATTTATTATTATGAAATTTGCCGTTGCTCAATCTTACTATATTAACCCATAAGATTGAACTTAATGTGCACTGTTGCTTAGTGGCTGTCATTTATTCGTAATTTAATTCTACCAAACAATCATTACATGAGGTCTAACTTACTTAATTACTGATTACAAACAATATTGCAGCTTCTTCATAAGAATTCGATAATAGCTAATTTTCAATCATCTAGAATATCATTGCACGGTTATTCTCATGTATTGCTTACTACACACGTGCGTTTAAGTTTCTGAATTATTTTTATTGCATATACTGTAGGTATTACTTTAATACACAGCCACTTCTATGTGTAACTTGGCAAACAGCTCAGCTACTCCCTTATTGTGAGCGCGCCAAAGTGTGATTGGGCGTTTTAAAAACAATTGATTATTCCTACTAATTGACAAAATCAGAAGAATGCAATTTTAATCGAAAAATATTTAGAACTTTCGTAGCCTCTGCCAAGGTATCGCTAATAAACGCGCGAGCAGTTGAACGCAATTTTAAAGTAATTCCGAGACATTGTGCAACGATTGAATTTTTAATCTTGCGCAGTGATGAAAATGAAATTTTTGCTTCTCAGATTCCTCTTTTTATTTTTGAATATTTTCCCTGGTATCATTTTCATGATTTCTGTGTTTCAATTTTGGTTATCCGACGATATTATTTTGACCTACAAGCTTTTTGTCTTACATTAATATTACTCAATATCATGTTATTCATTGTTATTATATTTCACACTTTTTATCTGATGTTATCATGATTCACAATCTTGTTGTTCAGCTTTTCTAAGATTCCTAGAACCTTTTTAGCGCTTGAGCCCTCAAATAAAGTTGGATTCGTTGGTCGACTGCGTCTCTGCGGAAAAAAATCCTACTTTATTGGCTTTTAAGAGGAATCTCAGCCTGAAAAATATCCCTAATGAAGAAGAATTTATAACGAGACAGGATTCCAATCCGAGACTTACCCTCCAGAGGAACGGCTCTACTCTCGATTCGGGAGCGGGTGCGATGCACCGAGTGCTGGCCTTATCCTCGATGTTGATGAGGATCTTATGCACCGAGTGCTGGCCTTATCCTCGATGTTGACGAGGATCTTATGCACCGAGTGCTGGCCTTATCCTCGATGTTGATGAGGATCTTATGCACCGAGGGCTGGCCTTATCCTCGATGTTGATGAGGGTCGTGTGCACCGATTTTTTCGAACCTCATCCTCGATGTTGATGACGGTCTAATGTGCCCGAGTGCTGGCCATATCGTCGATGTTAGAGCCGTGAGATGATGCGGAACCGATGCGCCTTGCGGGTCAGAGTCAGCTGGCCTAAACGTCGTTGTTAGTGCGGACTGTGGATCCGATGAGACGAATGCTGACCTTATTGTCGACGTTATTGTGGGTCCGATGTGCCGCGTACTGCATGGCCTCATGTTATTGTGGGTTCGATGTGCCGAGTGCTGCATGGCCTCGTGTTATTGTGGGTCCGATGTGCCGAGTGCTGCATGGCCTCGTGTTATTGTGGGTCCGATGTGCCGAGTGCTGCATGGCCTCATGTTATTGTGGGTCCGATAAGCCGGGTGCTGGCCGAACCCCAAATGCAAAAGCGTGTCCGCTGTGCTGAGTGCTATCGTTATCCTCGGTGTTGGTGCAGGCCCAAGGCTCCGAGTGTTTGCTGTGTCCTCGATATTAGTGCGGGTCCAGGGCACCGAGTGTTGTGTTTTTCGATCGGTAGTCTGGCCATTTGCATCTCTTTAGACATTCATGCATCCCGATGAGATGCCTTAGATACAGGAAAGGTGACGCGTTTCTCTGAAGTTGTCCTTTCAGGTAAAATCTTCTGTGATTCTGTTCATTTGTAAGGAACCAAAATACTCCTGGAAATTATTTGAATACTTTCTTAAAGCAGCCTCCGGGATTGATTATTGTATCCATAATGTTTTCTTTAAAAATTTGTATAATCAATAATCAGTACGGTAACATTCTTAGATCTGTCAACAAATTTACGTCAACATCGAGAATTTTTTATCTATTGATTAGTTTTATGATTTTCGGTTAGAAAAGTAAATTAACTAGAATTATAGATCCTCAAAAAGTTCCAAAAATTCGATCACTTCTGTTGCACTAGCGCTTACTGCTCACAAAATAATTGTCATACCACTTAAAGTTTCTATTATGGCTCAACTCAGAAAATTGATTCAAAGATTATTTTCCATGCGTTGATAAATTAATTGAATTTGGGGGTTAAATCATATTGACATAGAGTTTGCTCACTATTTGTTAACAATTTCTCATCGGCTAAACGTGTCACAATAACTCTTGATAATTGCAATACCACGTGAAACGGAACTGACTTCTAGACAGTTCAGTTCGTGCTCGATATTTGTTAATTAATTAAGATTTTAATGCTCTTATGAGACCATCCATGTTTAGTCTCTTGTGAAACAAGTTTCTGGAAAGTTGGAAAATCCTCTTAAATGAATTAGGGTTTGATTGCCTACACACAACAATGAGTGCACTGAATGGCGCAGTTTTTTCTCATTTGCACAAGTGAGATTCCTGAGGATAGACTTTATACGCGTCTAATTCACCGCTAACTCACCGACTACCCGAGTAAGTCAGACTGCTGGTGAAGACACGTGGCTTTCTGCCAATTATCCGGTGCAAAATTGTCGGTCTAATTGCTAATCAGTTTCTATTAATACAGAAATTAGGCTTTTATTGATGTGAGAAATGCTTTGGAGATGATTATGAATTGTACGAACTAAAGCCGATTAGGTTATTGGCTTGTAATCTTTAAAACCTCAGTCGAAACAAGTTTTTCAAACTCCTAATTATTCAACTTAATTGAAACTATGGTGAGGTTTAATTAACTACTTAATTGAAATTTAATTACTACTTAATTGAAACTTCAACTATGGTGAGCTTTACATCGCACAAGTACAAGTTTTTCAAATCAATCAAGTGTTTTGATGATGCTTAATAGTTTTTAATACGTTTAATTCATAGTCAATTTCATAGTCCAAGTCAATTAATTCGTAAATAATAAGAATGTCTAATAATTAAAGTTTGAAATATTAATGTTATGTAAGAAGGGACGAAAAAAAGTTTCGATTCATTCAATAGAATTTTACAGAAGCGAATGAAATGGTGAAAATTATAGAATAAATCGGTGACGGACTTGCACCCAAGTTATGAAGTAACTTAGTCGTGAAGTAACTTAGTGGTGAAGTAACTTAGTGAAGTGACGTAGTGGTGAAGTTACTTATTGAAGAAACCTAGTGGCGAAGTAAATTAGTGGTGAAGTAACTTCAATTCTCATCCCAAATGTGATAACAAATTTTTTAATTGTTTTTAAAATCAGAGTACGCTTGAATGAACTTTTAAATCTAAATCTTATGTCAATAAATTTGTCTAAAGTGGGCAAACAGAATAGAGTCTTAAATGACGGTAAATTTCGACAGATTTAATAATTTAAGTCTACGTCAGTTTGAACCACATTTAGTTCTCCTATATACACGTTGCATGTCATTTGCAGCTTCACTCTTATCTTCGACAATGAACCAGATTTGGTATGCAATTAATACAATTAATTTTTAACCGAAGCTCCACAGCTCCGATGACCGGAAGTTTGTAATGTAGTTCTTAGGAGCGCCTGTGCGACTTGGGTTATTACTGGAAGTTTTCGAAGTTCAATCGATATATATTGGGTCGTTAGAGACGTTGGGGGGGAGGGAGAGGATTAAGGCACATGTGGGTGAGTGTGGTCAACCTCTATTAGGAGCTGTCGACAAATTTTTCTTTAATAATATTTTTCCCAGTTAAGTATGGGCAATTATGGAAATCTTTTACTGGGTATTCCAGGCTTAGAAAATGAATTATTTCGATTTGTTTTTACTTACTCTACTGCATGGGCAATAAAATAATTAAAGAGTATAGCATGAATGGGTTTTCGTGTTAATGTCCTGGTCATAATATGCTGCTGGAAATGTCTGGATCTGTGAACGAGTTCACTGGGGTTGACAACACGTGCATTATAATATTACAGAATCTGTACTCGTGATTGCAGATCTCAATTCCTTTCAGATTATCTAGACATGATCTAAATAATTACAAAAGTTGTATAAATTGAATTCGAACAGTAGTTACGCTGTGCCCGATACAGTTGTTTTCGCGTACCATGTGTAGAATCGTTAGTGATATAGAACTGGTTAATAATAATGCGCTATCAGCTGAACTTGATCATCTAAAACGAGGTCACGCTGACGATTATTTGTAACAACTCTTCGATTACCTGGTATAATGGTGATAAGAACTTCAGGTTATTTCCTAAGTAATGGCGAAAGTCTCGACATATTCAGACGAGAACGGCTAGGCGAAAAATAGATGAGGCTTTCCATCGTATGACATTAAAGATTGATATTCAGCCTGAGAACAGTTTGAGATAATATTTAGGATTGAAACGATACATATCATATATATGCTTGTGGCAACGACATGGGATCACAACGTATTGGACATTCGTGATTTTTTAGAGAAATCTTCGCATACAATTTTTCGTTCTTACCTGTTCATAATATTTGATTTAAAATTTTTTCTAATAACAAATTCATTTTTCGATTAGCTTTCTCGAAAGGCCCTTTTTTCCACTACGTCATTTATTTGTAAAGATATTCGCTTTGACATCAAATAAAATTATACTATCCGTTCCTCCAAATGTAATAATTTCGATCTCATTTATCCATGATAATTTATTGAACATCTTCTTAGTTTATTCATTTATCAGAACTCACTTAAGCTTGCAGCTTCCGCAACGTCGACTAAAAGTCAGTGGATGCCATTAATTTGAAACGAAATATAATTTATTTGTATTTAAGCTCGAGGAATTTTCACTATCAAGATCGGGAAAGCTTAATAATTAAAAGCTTAATAATTTTGCAAGCTCGACGATATTTTCATCCTCATTTAAAATGCCTTAATTTGTACTTTTTTGTTAAAAAATTTTTTTCACAAAACTATTTTTCTAATTCTTAGCGGTGAAATTCTAAATTAGCCGGCAATTTATCCTGTCGCATCCTGAAATTTGTACTCACAAATATTCTTGCTGTGTGGTAATTATGTATGTCTTATATCTTAGGTTCGTTAATCAATTTGACTTGTTTTCAACTAAAAATAATAATAATTTGCATTTTCTAATGAAAAAATTCAATGATTGTTTTATAAACTTTTTCGTCTAATGATAATTTAATTTTATAAGAAAGGTCTCTTTTCTCTTCTCTCCTATATTATTCATTTATTTAAATCAAATAAAATTCCGCAGTGCATCGAAAATTTTAGATTTTCTTGACTGATATCTGAAAATTTTATTCATTGACAACGTAGGTACAATTTTCGACAATTAATTAACTTCATTCCCAAGTTCCCATTTTTCGCAAAAATAATTATTCTTTCTTCACTTTTTATAATTTCATTCATGTTCCCATTTTTCGCAGAAATAATTATTCTTTCTTCACTTTAAAATTATAATAATGTCACAATTTAAGAGTGCTTTCTCGTTTTCATTCCCAAGTTCCCATTTTTGTCAGAAATAATTATTCTTTCTTCACTTTAAAATTATATTAATGTCATACTTAATGAGTGCTTTCTAGTTTTCATTCCCAAGTTCCCATTTCTCGCAGAAATAAGTATTCTTTCTTCACTTTAAAATGATATTAATGTCGTACTTTAAGAGTGCTTTCTCGTTTTCAGATCCTCCCTTCGTTACTCTGAAGCCTGGCAGATCTCTTAACCTGTCTGCAATTGAAGAAGGCGATGACGTTTACTTTGAATGTATCGTCAACGCCAGCCCACCCATTTACAAAATCGTATGGAATCATCAGGTGTGTATATATAGATTACCAATTCATGAGTAACTATTATAATTAAATGGGATGGCGCTGAACCTTACTTCTTATTCGCCTGTATTTTAATATATACATGATCTATTAAGGCTTGCAGCTCAATATTGTGTCACTATCTTAATATTTGTCCATGCATCATCGGTTTGTATATTTTTAACTCTTTAGATACTTTCATCGATTAATATTCTGTTTTATTTAACTATATGGCCCTATTATGTCATAAGCATATTAGTGTAGCTCGTAGCTCGGCCAATTAAAACAAAAAAAAATCATGATGGCTCAAGATAAAAATTTCCATATTTAGTCTCACTGAACACTTTACAATTACTCTCCATCTATTACTCATCCATCTCCAATAGCTATTCGCACAATTTCCAATATACCGCCTTTCTGTTATTTTTACTAAAACATCTTTATCCGTTTTCTCCATGAAAAATGTCTAGTATACACAATTTTTCTTTGTTTTTTTTAAATAAATATCATTTTTAGTAATTTCCAGGGAATATCTATCTTATTAATTCTGGCTGAGTAACTATCTCCATTTTCCGTAGAGTAGCTACGCTGAATATTTACTTTGCACTTCGGGTTTGATGGAACTGAATCTGAATGTTGTATGGACGAATTCCTGAATAATTTCCCAGATATCCGTGCATGTCAACGCTGCCGCTCTAGAGAGCTGGTGGATACGCAGAAATTCTAAATAACATTTTAAAGCTCATGCTCTTGAAATGCACTGGTTTTTTTACACTTCAAAGAATTAGAAATAACTTCTGGTTACGCAAAGTATTTTTTTAGTAGCTGTATTGGAGATTTTCTAGAGAAGTCGAAGTAAAATATTGCACCTAAGTTTGACATTTATTATTTAAATTTTAGGTTGTGGTTAATCTCTGCCTATTTTAATAGAAGTTTGTTGAAATCAATATGAGTGGCATTTCCGAGAAATATCAATGCCTATTTCAATTTCTTCCTAAATGCAGAAGTTGTTTTTATATCACTTAGTTTCTGACTGAAATGTTCAAAATGTTTATAAGCTCTAGAAAAATCTTGTCGCTGAATTAATTTTTCAATATTCAAATTGTTTTATCTCCTATAATTAACTTTGACATATGAGACAATAATCTCGCATAAATCGATTCAGACGATAAATTTTCTGTAATTCATTATCATTAAAACTCTTCCATCCTTTTCTGCACTCACAATTGTTAGCCATCATTTGTCATGTGACTGTTGTTATTATGATCATTGATGTGCGTTCGTCATGACTGGCCTTGCAAATTCATGAGTAACTATTATAATTTAATGGGATGACGCTGAACCTTACTTCTTATTCACATGTATTTTAATATATACATGATCTATTAAAGCCTGATCATTGTAATTTTCTTCAATGATGAGCTTCGCGCACTGACGGTTGGCTGAGGTAGTGAAAAACTTCTGGCCATGTTCGATTTCATGCAAATTCTATTAACTCATGAGACTAAAAATAACCCAAATACACATTTTAAATCATCAGTTATCTTAAATGTATAAAGCCTTTACACTTTAAGGTCATTGAACGCTGTAGCATCAGATAGAATTTTTTATATTTAATGATGAATCTCTATCGAAGACAATGTGTCTCTGTCGGTTCTAAATTATTAAAAAAAATTAGTTATTCGTTGTCAGGACATTAGCGCTTGATTTATAAATTTAAACGTCGCATTTCTACCCAAAAATTCTGGATTTTTGCAACGATAACAATTTCAATTTAAGTCATTATTTTAATTCTTCAAACATCTGGGCTTTATGATCTGCCTGTGCTGAGTGATCGAGTGATGAATCTAAATTAGCTTTTTAGCGCATTTTCTCGTTTATGGAAAAAAGGCGCTATTGTGCTCGCCATGTCCGTCCGTCCGTCTGTCCGTCTATCTGTCCGTCCGTAACTCCACGCTTTCGTCGACGAGAAAATGCGCTCTGTGTCACTCACTGCAGTGAGCGGAGTTATATTTCTTTAAAATTACATTTGCATTTCAAGCGGACAATGTCCAGCATTAGGACCGTTAATTCCAGATTTTATATGCTAAATTAACGCGATTAAGCAACCTAAAATAATTATTTATTTTGGATTTTTATTACTAAATTAACGGAACTAAGCACCTTAAAATAATAATTTATCTGTTACAAGGGCCGAATCCTGCACCACAACGTCTCAGCGGGCATCATCCTGAGCAACCAGAGCCTCGTGGTGCAGGGGGTGGACCGCGCCGCGTCCGGCGTCTACAGCTGCACAGCCTCCAACATAGAGGGCGACGGCGTGTCTAACTCTCTGCACCTCAACGTTAAATGTGAGGCATTAATTATTTAGAGTCTCGTAATGATATGAGTCTAGAACTCATGTTATGATTCCAGAACTCGTATTAATATGATTATAGAACTCAAGGCAACATTGAGAGCGACGTTGTATCTAACTCTCTGCACCTCAACGTTATATGTGAGGCATCAATTATTTAGAGTTTCATATTAATATGATTCTAGAACTCAAGGCAATATTGAGAGCAACGGTGTATCTAACTCTGTGCACCTCAACGTTAAATGTGAGGCATAAATTATTTAGAGTTTCTTATTAATTAATATGAGTCTAGAACTCGTATTAATATGATTTCAGAACTCGTATTGAGAAGATTCTAGAACTCAAGGCAGCATTGAAGGCGATGGAGTATCTAACTCTATGCACCTCAACGTTTAATGTGAGGCATCAATAATTATTATTTAGAGTCTCTTATTAATATGATTCTAGAACTCGTATTAAGATTATTATAGAACTCAAGGCAACATTGAGGGCAACAGCGTATCCAACTCAGTGCACCTCAACATTAGTTTTTAGTTTAACACTTTTCATTCACATGAGAAGAATTCTGTTTTGTCTCAAAAAGAGTAGAGGGTAACGGCGCTCACGTCCTCAATTATTTCCGTTCTCTTATGAATAAAATTCTAGTCTGCCTCAGCCAATACATAGCTGAGGCAGGAAGCTCCGATGTCGCTCTTGATGCATTGCTGAGGCAGGAAGCTCCGATGTCGCTCTTGATGCATTGCTGAGGCAGGAAGCTCCGATGTCGCTCTTGATGCATAGCTGAGGCAGGAAGCTTCGATGTCGGTCTTGATGCATAGCTGAGGCAGGAAACGCATTTTTCACTTTTGTTACACCTCTCATTTGGAGCAATAAATGAGCACCAAGAGTTATGTAAATGGTAGCTTGATAATACTAAGCAAAGCAACCGAGGAGCTCCTCGTTTTTTCTAAGTGCCTGAAAAATGTCAAAATTTCGTGAAAACGAAGCGCTTGATTATTAAGTATGAAGCTTACGCCGCAGTAATTATAATTTTTATTACTACCCCATTTATCGTAAAAATTGCTTCTATTCATTATTTTTTATCCACTTTTTTTAATGTTAATAACTACATTAAATATCAAGTTAGGTGATGAGTTGACAATTCTTAGCGTGACAAATACAATGCGGTTGAGAAAGCGCCTGTCACATGCGGCTGACTTTGCTCGGACGTTCTTGAACGCGTGGCTTACAGAGCGTTGATTTATGGTTCTCCCTCAACACGTAACCATTTATCAAATCGTACGACTTCGGTGATAACTTCTCGAAGTGAGTTGTATTAGAAATAACCTTTAATAAACTCTTTTCAAGAAGTTTAAGGGATTCTATCCTCTTTATCAGTTGCCGTGTTTCGTGCAATTGTTGCTTAGCGTTATTCCTGTACTAATCCCGAATGAACTTCCTATCAATGTTTGAATTCGTGCCACCAAAGTATAAATTAGTAAAGTTATTTTGGTACAATATCTCATAATTTCATTTACAATCCTTTTTCGTTTCAACGCGTTGTCAAAAACTTGTTAGTTAACTAATTCATCAAATGCTACCAAATTATGTAATTAGTTTCAAATTTGTATGATATTCCTTTAGATATTTTATCACACAAGCATAAATATGCAATGGTGGTGTGCATGATTTTTATTCATTCGTTGGATTGTTTTTAATTTCGTAACAAATCTCAATGTCATTCAAGGTAAATTGAATAATTCGGCAACATCCGATAATATAATCATTACCCGATAAAACGCCGCTAATTTGAAACTGTTGCTTTGAACAACTTTTATTGCTACGAAATATCAATTCTAATCTTCCATCTATGATACCAAAGTCTGAGATACTTTAATGTTACAAATAAAACCCGTAGATTTATCACGTTAAGTTGTGAGCTCTATGGCCTTCGTGTGCGGTGTTACCAGTTCATGTCATCATGCGCACCACATACGAATTTTCTTCAACTATGCATGGCAACTATAAATTATGATACATAAAATATGAGCGAAATAATTATGATTGTGATTATAAGATATAACACATTATATTGAAAAGCCACTTTAATTATCTATTCAGTGTAACTTTAACTAACGATTACTGCAATATAAATTAATTGAACTAATTTGACTTTTATTAACGTGATATCTAACATTGTTGGAATTAGATAGCGTGAGCTCTAATCACAAGACACTATGCAGTATATTAGAAGCCACACATTTTTATCTATAAATATTAACAGAAAATAAAGATTCCTACAATATGAATTAAATGGTCTACTGTAAGTATTACTTACGAAATAAAAAATATTTCAAAAATATATGCTCTCCGTCTTAATCACAAGCTATTATTCATTGTCTTCATCATCTGTACAGAGTAATTGTAAATAAACATTCTCACCATATGAGTGAAATTATCTAATGTGCTTGATAACTACGAAACATTTAACATTACAGAGCAGATATGAGTTAAATTATCTAATTTTCTTGATAATTACGAAACATTTAACATTACTGAGCAGATATGAGTTAAATTATCTAATATGCTTGATAATTACGAAACATTTAACATTACAGAGCAGATATGAGTTAAATTATCTAATTTTATTGATAATTACGAAACATTTAACATTACTGAGCAGATATGAGTTAAATTATCTAATATGCTTGATAATTACGAAACATTTAACATTACAGAGCAGATGCTATATGAGTGAAATTATCTAATATGCTTGATAACTACGAAACATTTAACATTCCTACAAAACAGTTAATTATCTAACATGCTTGATAACTACGAAACATTTAACATTACCGAGCAGATGTTATATGAGTGAAATTATCTAATATGCTTGATAACTACGAAACACGAAACATTTATCTAATATGCTTGATAACTACGAAACATTTACCATTACCGAGCAGACGCGCCGGTGTGCGGACAACAAGACTGGCAGTACCGCGGCGCATCGCTGCACGAGACGCTCGTGATCCCCTGCGTGCTGGACGCGCTGCCTCCTCCACACCACGTCACCTGGACCTTCAACAACACCGGCGAGAGCATACGTATTGCGCAGGTCTGTATTGCTCTATATTTGTTCAATTTATTTCATGATTATTTTGTGTAGAGATTTGTTTTGTTCCCAGTATTGTGCTATGGCACCTATTAAAAAACATTGCACATGTTATTCTATATTTGTTTAATATAATTCGTGACTATTTTGTATAGAGATTTGTTTTGTTACCAGTGTTGTTCTATAGGATCTTTCCAAAAATATATATGCATTGCACAGGTCGATAATGCTCTATATTTGATCAATATAATTCATTATTATGATGTGTAGAGATTTCTTTTGTTACCAGTATTGTACTCTAACATCTATTCGAAAGTATTTGCATTGCACAGGTCGATATTCCCCTCTAATTGTATTCCTTCATTCATGATTATTTAGTGTATAGAGATTTGGTTTGTTACCAGTGTTGTGCTATGACATCTATTTAAAAATCTATATACATTGCGCATGTTACTCTATATTCGTTCACTTCAATTAATGATTATTTAGTGTAGTGATTTGTTTTGTTCCCAGTATTGTGCTATGGCATCTATTCAAAAATATATATGCATTGCACAGGTCGATATTATTCTATATTTGTTCACTTCAATAATTCATGATTTTTAGTGCAGAGATTTGTTTTGTTACCAGAACTGTACTATGGTATATATTCTTCTAAATTATAAAATACTTCTCAGAGGTCGATATACCCCGTTAGTTATACACTTCAGTTTATGATTATTTTGTGTTGATAACATCCAGCCTATATATTCCTCATAAACACAAAACGCGCAGGTTGTTATTGCCATCTATTTCTACTTTCTGGTCATTAATATTTCGTGCCCAGATCTTTTTCACTCCCTAATGACCTATTGCATATATTCTTCAAAATTACGTGACAACATGCGTGACGGGACAGGTTCTATGGTATAAAATATATATTTCTATTTTACGACTTGGAAATTTGTTTATTAATAACATGATAACACATAATGGAATATACCTGTGACATTTTTTTCTGTTAATTCTGTCATTTGTTAGCCGGCTCTGCTTTGGTTACATTTTGCGTTAATTTGGTTGCACGCTGTTTCCCATTTTTCTAATATTAACTGTAATATTATGTCGTATTCAATTTTACGACCTGCTCTATGTCGTTTTACGTCAGCTTTGTCTATTATTTCATTTCTGTTTATTCCAAGGACATGAAACATTTTTTTACATGCAAAGCACTCTAACATTGACATAATGAAGCCAATTATGCATTCCTTATGCTCGTAAGCTTACTTATTCTTTTATTTTACGCTATTTTAATTCCCATTATTTGCCCTGTGCGAATGGAGAATGAAGTGTAGAGGACTTTCTTGTATGCTAGTCCTTTGCGAACGGTTACTAAGCTATTCCAAGACGCGCCATCATGACAAGATAAAAAACAGTATTCCTTGCCGTACGGTTTCTAGAAAAGAAAATTACAAGAAAATAAATATGAAAAATATACAAGGGATAATGCATGATACATATATGAATTAGCAATGTATGAACTACGACATATAAACAATAATGAAACAGGATAAACAATAATTCAAGTAACTAACCGAAGAGCTTGGATCCTTTGCTACTGCAGACATCTAGCGTCAAACAATGAATGCTGTGGAGCATTTGAAATTAACTACGTCTAATGGGCTAATTTAATTACTGCAAATTACATTGGACATGGAAAATGCATACAAATGCATTATATATAAAATGCATACATTTGCATAGATATACGATTTAACATGTTTCTCAGTAAAGAGCGCCTGAACATCCAGTCTTGCCTCGTTGAACATTACGTACCATTTATAAACTTTGAATAAAATTCTCGTATAAGTTGCAAGAATTAAATTTATCAGAGGCAGCAGAATTGATATCTACTGCCGTCAAATCCCCAGACTTATCATCTTTATAAAGCAGAGACTTTGCTTCAATTATATGGAAGGGTTCAAGAGGGGCTTAGTGTGAGTTTGTATTAATATATTAATCTATAATAATTCATATATATATATATTAATATATCAATATGTAAATATATTAATGACGTATGTTAATTTGCTGGTATAACTCAAATGCTTTTCATTCGTGTTTCTTGTTTGAATCATTAAATTCAAGGTATCAAAATTTCACACATGCGGACAAATGCATTTTTTTACCTTCACATTTCGTGTGAAAAATCGCATCATTTATATAACGTTTTGCTTATTAGCGAACCGTTCATTTCACTTTATTGTGATTATATAATAAGATTAATTTATTATAGTTTTTCACCGCTGTGAAGAGTAACATAGTTTTTGATTTGATAAGTAAATTCACAAAAGAATAATTAAAAACTATTTTTAACTATTCAATTTTTACAGTAAATCGTTGTAAATCAGTTTCAGTGAAAATTAATTATGTAGTAGTGCTACAAACGTGACGTGTACCGATATTCGCTTACTAACAGCCCTCCACAGTAATAATTATCTCTTGCATTTATCTTTAAAAAGCTGTCAGCATTGCTATCAATGGGATTTTAATTGAATATAAATTACTTCACGTGCATTTTACGACATTAGGGCTGGCAGGTATAAATTTCTCGTTTAATGCAGGAAATGAGCGCAGCTTTGGGAGTTTCCATTAATGGAAAACCTCCATCGAGGGACACGAATAATTCAATTTCAGATACTAAAAAAATTAATAAAGGCTATAGTTACGGCGTCATTTCAGTTCAATAATTTTTCCGACATCAAATTCCAGTTGAAAGGTTCTGCGCGCAGCCTATTATTCAGAGTTGTTTACATAAAGCACCGAATTATAACTTGATGCACGAATTGATATAAAAACTCACAGATTTTAGATTCAATGCTTGTGGTTGGGGTGCTCATGAAAGTTGATTGATATTTAACCGAGTTCCATTATGAAGCTTGTTGCTTTTTATGCCGCAGCCTCACGTAAGAGCGCAAGCCTACCATTATTTTTCGCCTATTTTGCCAATAACATTTTATGCATATGAGTTTTAGGTGAAAGCTTATTCTGCACTATAAATTTATGGAATTAATTGAAGTGAAATCGTTTGGAATTATCATATATATTCATGCGTCAGTTTATTTATTTATATTTTCTTAATCATTTAGCCGAAATATAATTTGAATTTTATGTTGAAAATATCTTCACATTGATTCATCAGTTCCTCGCACCGCTTCAACAGTGAATTTCAATTTAAGTGAGGCAGTAATTTATCCCCGCTGAACCACCCTTGAGTCTGATGTTAATTAATTCAAGTATTTCGATCACTCATCCAATAATAGGTGCTATTTAACCTAAACAACATGAATGCCGTTGATCAAGTTATGCTCGGACTTGATTCATGTTCCAAAATTATGCGTGATGAATGACATTCACCTCCAAACTCATCTGGTAATGATAACATAAAAACTTGAATGGGAAGCTTTATAATATTGCACAGATTTTGACGAGTTATATGAAAAATTTGAAATCAATTACATTAAATAGATCGTAAGTAAATAAGGAAATTTAAACTAGATCGCATTAGTTTCAAAGGTTTTGATTTCATTCTATGAAAATTAAATCATGCTACTCTATATATTGCTAAATGACAGATCAGCTTCTTTTTGGCACGAGATAATGTGTGGTTCTGACGCGTCGAAATTACTTGCTTCATGACCATTCTTAATACCAAATAGTTTAAAATTAGTTAAATTAAAATTAAAATAGTTTAAAACTACTTGCAAATTCTATAATAGCCTCCTAGGGAAACGATTTTTTTTCGTGGAGTTAGTAAGAAGAACATGAATTCAACAGGTTGATATTGAATGGCCAATCGTGTAATCACTTGTGCCTAGTACATACCCGTGCATGCCTTCCATTAAGTATTCAGCTGGAAATTACAGGTGTCAAACTCTTAAGTCTTGGCGTGCCGACTATGATCGCTTATAACAACGAGAATCTTCTTCGTGTTAGACTTTTCAGTGTTTATCTTCGAGATGCATTCAATACTCCAAACTTGGATGAATCGAGGAATCGTGAAGATTTTCGGAGCAAATTCAATACCACTAATTTTATTGTTCCAGAAATGATGTCTAAAACGGAGTGAAAGCAACATACATGAAAGAAAGCTTAGAGTACAGTTTACTCAGCACCATGCATAAGCTACTATAGGTTAACACAAGCTTCACAGTATGCATATTTGCTCCAAGTAACTCACCAGAGGCTGGCATTGGACATTGATTGTCCATAAATATGAGTATTACAGACCGTCGCCTCTAAACATCTAAGATTGCTCCAACGCTCGCTAGTTTACGTTATGCTTCAGACGATGGATTACGCTCAATGATGACAATCATCGACGGCAGTGCCCGAATTCCCAGTCAATCCGAGCTAATGGCTCTTTAATACACTCTTCAATGTGCTCTTTAATGCAGTCTCTGATGCACACTTCAAGCCGTTTGCACGCGAACGGCTGCCTGAATTCATAACGCTTTATTTAGTAGATGAACCGCTACACTGACGAGGACTGGCATAACTAATAATGAATTCGTAGTTTAATATTAGCTTATGGGAGTCTTTCCTCTGCAACTTTTTTCTAGCGCATTTTCTCATTGATGGAAAAAAATATAACTCAGTACTCACTGCAGTGAGTTACAGAGAGCGCATTTTCTCGTCGACGAAAACTTGAAGTCACGGACGGACAGACGGACAGACAGACAGACGGGCATGGCGAGCACAATAGTGCATTTTTCCATAAATCATAAATAAGAAAATGCGCTAAAAAAGCGCAATTGTGCTCGTCATGTCCATCCGTCCGTGACTTCACGTTTTCGTCGATTTTGAGAAAATGCGCTCTCTGTCATTCACTGCAGTGAGTACTGATAATTTTTTTCTGATATACATCCGCCCACTCAGCACGACTTCCCCATCCACTATGCTCTGTTTACTCGTAATTATGGGCAAGCTTGAATATTGGATCTTTTTTGTTGAATTTTCACGCGGCATGGTTACTGTTCTGATGCCGGATTTTGCCCTAGCCCAGTTGTGATCGAATAATGTACAAATTTGTGTTAGAAAAGCATTGTGGCTATATACAAATCCATTTGTCTGAACACTCTCCTCGTCCAGAGTTACCTTTGTTCAAAGCCCCGTGGATATATTGGTACTGAAATTCACTATCTTTAGACCTGTGCGGTCTCACATCTCGTTTCTAAAATACTTTCACCAGCTTCTCAAACCACGTAAAAGTTCTTCACCCGGAAATCCATTCCAGAATACACTCTGTTATCCAGAATATTCATCATGATATATTCATCAATTGGACATCTGTCAATTTGTGATTCATAGTACTATGCGTCAGTAGCGCCTGTTCTATTATTTCGTGTCCGGCTTTAACTGTATACTAAAACTTTTATTTGGCGCACGTAAACTCTATGATGTATATGAGCTCCTATGTTTTAACTCAGTGCATGCTCAATTATTTGCCTCCTGCTCTTGTAATCAGTGCCCATACATTTTAACAACATTATTTGCCATTAGGCGCCCACATTTCACTTGCTTCCTCCATTATTTTTCCAGAAATTGTCCCAATATATAAACACTCGTCATGCATATTTTACAGACAATTCTTCACACTTAACGCACACCTATTTATCTCATGCCCTCGGCTGCCTGTATTTATAAAGCGTGCGCTATTTTCGCTAGCGCTTGTTTTCAATTAAGCCCGTCCTTCAATGACGTGCAGATGACGTCTCTCATTTGGTGCTACTAGTTTATTTACCACCTCTAATATTTGGGAGTAATATCTTATTTTGCTCCGAGTGTTCAATTTATCGCAAGCTCTTCTGTTTAGTAGCTCCTTTTCAGTTCAACACAGGAGTGATAACATTCGGTCAAGTTTTGAAAGAGGAAGAGGTAATCATTCTTCATAGATTTTGCGAGTTATTAGTTTTAAATTGGTAAGGAGAACTTGACCGCTTTGTAATATTATCAAATAAAAACTAAACTACATTATTTTATTTTTAGTTTCAATTCTATACATTTACAAGTCTCATAATGGCGTTCCCGCCATAATATTTCAAAGCACGGTGCCCGCCTAGTAGTCTACCATGTAGAGATCAAACTTCCATTTGGCACCCGATATTTTATTCAGGCTCAATCTATTGTTGCAGGCCTACTTGACAGTTGTATTCAATTATTCATACCCCTTGACCTCCCGTTGAGTACCTTGTCATTCTAGTTAGTGAATAAATTCATTTGTTGTGCATATTCTGTTGATAATATTGATCTGTCCAACATCCAACCACTTTGGATCTCAGTCTACGAAAATCATCGTATGCGATATGGGTGTTGCATCACGCTTCAATGCTTAACCAATTCGACTTTAATTAATTCTGTCATTTTTAGGGTTTCTTACTTCATAGATACTCGCAAATCTGTCGCTAAAGGAGAACATGAATTATTAATTCCTTTGATGCCGGAACATGCTTGTCATCGGTCTCACGCAAAGCCTCTTATTACATATGTCGGTGTATACTTGGCGCTGCGAATTCTTATATCTTAATGAAGTCATAGACAATATAAGAATATCATCTCTACAGGTAGCCTAGTATTCCGAATGGACAAAAATTCTGGAGAGAAATGTTTAAAACGACAAAAAAATGTAAAACAGATATCAGTTGAGTTATTTAAACCATAATCCTAAGTTTACCTCAATTATATAAATAATCGTAACCAAGACCCTTCCATCCCCTAACATTATTTATTGTTGATCCAGAAGTAAAAAGAAAATACCATGTTTTTGTTGGGTCAAAACATGTTGCGATTATTTTGACAACGAATAGAGAAGAAAGAACTTGAACGAGAAACCTATATAACTGTGATTTAGTAGATTTAATGCTATATCCGGTTAAACAATACGGTATGAAGCCAAGCCAATGAAAATAGTACTTCTTGATTGAAAAAATTATTAACTGGTTTAAGTATGGTTAAGGAATTAATATGTAAATTACATGTAATATTAAGGTTGAGGAATATGAATATATGTAACAATTTTGACCCGTACGTTGAGACCAAAATATATACCAACATTTCGGGAGGATAATTTATTGTATCATTACACTAACTATGAATTTGCTTGAAATAATTTCAAATCTTGATAAAATTAAGTGTTCCCAATTCTCTTTAATTAATGTGTGTATATTTTCCTTCTTTCCAACTCAAATTATCGTTCTCATTTTTCATTGTCCTAAACATTGAAAGCTTTGGAATGAGGACATCCTCTGGAGTAGATGGCCTCCTCTCTACTTTCTATACCGTCTTCTTGTGATGTCTAAGACTGAATTAATTCAGGCATTATGTCTCTTCCACCGCTGCTCATTAGAATGTTAATGATAGCTATTCATTAGAACCACGCAGCGGAACTCTACGGCAGCCCCATGCCTTTTTTCTAGCACCTGCACAGTCTCGGCTCGGGTCTCGAGAAAATGGCCAAGAACTTGAAGTTGAGAATACATTTAACGTTTCATTTCGTAAGGATGATCATTATCGAATTCATTTTGCTTTTTATAACACCATTTGAATTTCATTTTGTTCCGGTTGCAAAATCGATGGTATGTGATTAACCGATTGAAATTTTCTCGGACAAAGAATATTGATTACCAGAATGTTAATACGTAGAATCAAAGTCGACAAATAATGTTCAGAATTGTAAGCATTGATTCATCTTAATTATTGTTTAATACTTCAAACACATTAAATTTTTGAATTAGCATGAGACATCAGTTTTGCTTCGTAATTTTGTAAGCTTCAATCACTACGTATTGCTAACGGTATTTTTTACCTCCTAGCTTAAAGCTTGAATCCATAGAGCTGCACAAATTCAATTTGTTCGTAATGCGATACCTTGGAGATAATGTTTTGATCTCGCCCCCATTGTTCTGCTCTGTTATTTAAAGCTCTTCTGAGTGGTTGAAGAAAGCTTCTTACATCGTTTCTTTTTAGTGGATAATTTTGTAGCATTCTAATCCCCTAGAGGTTGAATGGGAAGATTTTCGCTTTTCCTCTTGAATTTATTGCTCAGATGCACTATTGTTCGATTACAAACATTATTGACTTTTTTTTGTTCTTCAGTTGTGTTGCTGTTGTTGCATTGTCCTCGTGTACATGATCAGGCGCTCTATACATGATCTCGCGTACAATTAACACGAAATTAATGTTTTTTATTGGGATGATAACTGATCGCCGTAAAAATTAAAAACCACCCTAATTTTTAGAATTGAATAGTTCAATCAAAACGTTGCAGAACAAGGTACCCATGCTGATAACCCTGTCATTACCGTTGCAGAACAAGGTACCCATGCTGGTAACCCTATCATTACCGTTGCAGAACAAGGTACCCATGCTGGTAACCCTATCATTACCGTTGCAGAACAAGGTATCGGTGGCAGGACGTAGGTCGTCGGTACGCTACACCCCCAAGACTGAGCTGGACTACGGCACGCTGCTCTGTTGGGGTACTAACACCGTCGGCCGACAAGCCCGGCCGTGTGTCTTCCATATCTTCCCTGCTGGTCAGTCTTTATTGTCTTTATTAAGTGATATTTACCGACATTTTCAGTTTTTATTATAATTGCTTGCCTAATTTTGATCTGTATTTTCGTTCTTTATTGCGCTTATTGCTTATCCAATTTTGATCTTCACTCTCAGTTTTTCGTTAATTTCTTATCCAATTTTTATCTGCACACTCAGTTTTTTGTTTAATTCCTACCTAATTTTGATCTGCGTTTTTAGTTTATATTAATTGCTTACCTTAATTTAATCTGCATTTTAGTTTTTTATGTTAATTGCTTTCCTAATTTTTCCAGAATTTTTGGTTTTTCACGATGGTTGCTCGCTTAATTATTAGCAGCACCTTTCAGTTTTTATAAAAATTTCCCTACTGTCTATTGCCGACAGCTTCACTTTTTTGTGAATTTCTTCTTAAATTTTTATCAACGTAGTCAGTTTCTCATGTTAATTGCTCACCTAATTTAAAAAAAAATTAGTTCATGTTGACGGTTAAAGCAAATATTAATTTCAGTTTTTATGTGTTTTCAAACAATTGAATGGTTCGAATAATTGTGTATAAATAATTTCATATCATAATTTCATAGCTGTCTGAGTTTCAGAATCAAATGCTCGTCAAAGTAACCTTTTTGTTTTTATTTTCTCGCAAAAACTGTAGGAAGACTTTGTCAATAAAGTAAATTCATTAAAAAAATCAACTTTATTACAGTGAACACGGGAATTAACGTATAATCAGTTTTGTCTGATCCTCAATTCGAAATCGTGAATGTATTCGATCGGTAAATAACGTAGTATTCTCCGCTGTTTGTTGAACAGGTCCCCCCGATCCAGTTCACAACTGTTCGCAGTTCAACCTGAGCGCAACGGACGTGAATGTTCGATGTTCGCCAGGATTTGACGGAGGCCTGCCTCAGACCTTCATCATGGAGCTGTACGACGAGCAAACTGGCAAACTTGTGGCCAACGTGTCGAGCCAGGCAAGTCCCAGTTGATTATTCCTCGACCACATTGATCACGTTGAGGGTATATGATTGGTATGACCATGCTGATGAACTTATTAACGTTGGGGATATCTTGATAAGCTTTAGAAGGATACTAAGGGCTAAAATGTTATCAGGTGTCGCAATTAAATTAATTCACATTGAAAGGAAGATGTAAGAAACTCAAAAGAAACATTTAAAGATAATATTATTTGTATATTTCACAGGCTTGCTTGAATTTACACGAGATGGTTGACTATGAAGAATATTTCACTACTTTCCAGTGTTCTACAAAATTGTGATTAAATAACATCAAACCTTTTGTGAAATACTGCTGTCTAAAAACATTTATGATCGCCAGAGACAAATCGTTAATGACTATAACATATAACCCGAATTCAGAAATTTTGCATTAGTAGTTACCCAATTACAGCAGTAGGATAAGAAAGAACTAATTTGAAATATCTATCTAATATATTGTTCGAAATATTTTTAAATCTAAACCTCACGATCACATGGTTGATGCACAAAGAAGAATTTATACGAAATGTACACAATTTCGGTATCCTTCGGTTGTCATTTTCAATGTGTCGAGTTCTTTCTTTCCTCTGCAGGTGCCGGTGCTGTGGGCCAGATCTCTCCCCTCGTCAGGCAGTTTCAGTGGCGTCGTATTCCCTCTAAACAGCAAGGGAAGAGGGGAAATCACCCCAATCAGTGCCGTGACACTCAGGGACCAGGCAGAGAAGCGAACAGGTAGATAATATTCCCTAACGTTATTTATAAGCTAATGACAATTAGTTCAAATTCGTCTGGGCTGCAATGTACACGTTACGCAAACTGGTTTAAAGTGCAGTCTTCTTGGAGGCGGTGCCATGAGCTTCAGAGGCGTCGACGTGCTGAGCATCGGAGTATTCGTCATGAGTCATGGAGTCTTCATCGTTCTGGACTAGTCATGAAGGCGTCGTCGTGAGCATCGGAGGCCTTGTCGTGAATCTTTGTAGCGTCGTCGTGAGCATCGTAGGCGTCGACGTCAATCGTGGAAGCGTCTTCGTGAGCCTCGAAGGCATGGTCGTAAGTCATATAAACATCGTCGTTCACGCCGAACCCTTGAGCGATCGTCGAGGGTCATGTGCCGTCGTCCTGAGCCTGTGAAGCATTGTCGTGAGCTTCGGATACATCGTCAGGACCCTCGGTCGTAAGCTACAGAAAAGTCGTCGAGAGTTCCGGGAGGTTCGTTGCGAGCTTAGGAAGCGTTATCATTAGCCCCAGAAACGGTTTCGCGAGCTCCGGGATGCATCGTCGTGAGCTTCAAAACCTTTCCTGGTCCTCGGATGCGTCGACGAGAGCCTGGGAAAAAGTCATCGAGAACTTCAGCATCACAGTTGTAAACCTCGTCGTGATTTTCAGAGTCGGAGTCGACGAAGAACGCATCGTCGTTTGTTACGGGAGCCCTGCCGTGGGCCCCATCGTGAGCCCCTGAAACATCGTTGTAAATTTCGAATGCATCTTTGTGAACTTAGAATACATAACGGTATGTATTGGAGTCGTAACGTGGATTTGGGAGGGTTGTCGTGCGACTCGGAAAAGTTGTCGTAGGCATGGATAGCATCGTTCTAATTCGGTAGCGTCGTCGTTAGCCGCAGAGCCAGCTCCGTGAGTTTCTGCTGCATCGTCGCAAATTCCAGGACTTGTCGCAACTATTTGATGTGTCGACGTGAGCACGGGGAAAAGTCGTTGAGATCTTCTGGAGCTCGAGGAGTTCGGCGTATGCTACGGAAGCGTCTTCGTGAGCCCCAGAGGCGGAGTGGTGACTTTCGGAAGTGTCGATGTAAAACTCGTATGCTACGGTGGCGCCGTAATGGTACTCACAAGCGTCATGATGAGCCTCGGAGCGTTGACGTGTACCTAAGAAGGGTTGTCGTGTGCGTGAGAGGTATCGTTCTGAATACTAAAGTTATCATCGTGAGCCTGGAGAGTGGCGTCAAAAGCCGCGGATGCATCGTCGTGAAGCTTCGGGAGCGTCGTGGTGAGCACCGGAAGGGTCATCTTGAGCCAGGAGGCTTAACAACGTCGAAGTGAATTTTGGGAGGGACATCATAACCAATGGCGGCGCCGTCGTGGGTAGCCTCAGAGGAGCCAGTCAGTTCCGTAGAGAACGTAGTGAGCTCCGAGGATCACGTAAACCTCGGAGACATTAGATCTTCGGATCTAATGTCTCGGATCACAACTATGCACTGGATGCATAGTTGTGAGACGCGGATACCTCGGCGTGAGATTCAAATGCAACATCGTGAGCCTAGGAGGCTTCGTCATGTGCCTCGGGGGCATTGTCGGTTGCTTCGCATGCATTGTTGCTGCCTGCCGAGGTTTTGTCGTGCGATGCAGAAGCAGTCGCCGTGGGCTGCAGCATCCATCGTTAGCCTCGCAAGAATAGCCGTGGAACTTTGAAGGGTTGCCGAAGGCCTCGGAAGCCTCTTCGCGAGCTTTGGAGGGCGTTGCGGCGTGCTTACGAGACTTTCCGCTGTGACTTTCCGCTCTGACGACTCTTTCCTGAGCCACCAAGGTATATCGTCATGTTCGATGGCGACGAGTCGAGACAAAACACATTGCAAAATTAGTTAAAAATCTACCAAATCGAAGAGTAACGTAATAACAAAACATTCGAAGTTGACACGCTGAAATGAAAATTTAGTAATGGGCTTTGTTTTTCATTTATACACTTTTGCGAGCAGAAGCAAACATTATATTAATTATGTAATATGCAGTATTGTTGGCTTCAACTACGTGCTTGTATAATAAGCAGAGCTGGGCAGCGCTACTTGGAANGATTTGCAAAAGTTATAAACTTTTTTAGAGTACCCCTTATTTGCCGTTTTCTATTAATTCCACGTTTTCTTTCATTTTTTTATATTTACATGACAAAAAGGTTTTAAATTTTTGTTTTACATATGTGCACCAAGTTTCAAAACGATCCGTCTGTAAACAAAAAAGTTTTGTTGGAGGGTAGCCGGTCCCCTTAAGTAAAATCTAAAGGCTTTATCTATAAATGTAGCGGTAGCGCTGTAACGGCAAAACCTCGTATCGCTACTTAAATATGTAGCGGGCGCTACCGCTACCGCTACATTGCCTTAAATGTAGAGCCGCTACCGCTACCGCTACTGAAAATGTAGCGGCCGCTAGTAGCGGCCGCTAGTAGCGGCCGCTACATGTAGCGCGCTACTGCCCACCTCTGATAATAAGACCCCTATATGTATGAGGAATTTGCCCACCACAACTACATTTTGAACCGTGGTAGAAGTGATACCTTTTCTTCAATTTTCGACGATTAATTAATAGATAGAAATTGTTCAGATACTTTTTCATAAAACTATATTTGCTATATCTATCCCAATGGTTTATTTACAGAACATAATATAATTGGATCTTCTCATGCTTAATTTATTACATTATGCTGACCTTTTACTGCCTCAAGATTAATGATACAAATTTTTGCACGCGCCAGTTCGTGCCTATATTGTATATATAGGCACGAATATTATATATTTAATGAATAATAAATATACAAATATTAAATCAATCACTTGTATTTATTCCCCATCACTATATTCATTTTTATCGCAGGCAGGTAAAAATCGACGAATTTCAAAGGCAAACAAACTTCCCTGAGCGTCACTTGTCGTTGTTTATATAGCAATTCTGGGGTGGCTTTTCCTTGTTTGCTCGCTGGAGGCAGAAACGCTTGCGTCCGTTCACCAGCTCCCAGAACAGTAAGATGTTCATAATTTCGGGGGGCACAGCGCCTTTAGGAGTCGCGAGTGGGTCATAAACGTTGGAAGCGTCCTATTAAATAAGCCTAATGCTGCTCAATGTGCTCGGCCAGCTCTCATTTTTGACGTGCGCGGTGCGGTTTTGTATGGGCAAGCTTCTTCGCAACAACGTCTGGTAGTGAGTCTATCGAGGCAAGCTTCTTCACAACAACGTCAAGTAGCAGACTTTGGAAAGACTTACGCATACAAACTAACGCCAAAACGCAACAGATTTGTCTTCAAAGCTTTTGTTTTAATTCTTTCATTTATGGGACCAGCTGTCGCAAGTATTACGAGTCTCGACAACGGCTAATTCAACAAGCTATCCTCTTCACCTGCTTCTTCAAACAATTTTTTTTCTTTTCCCAGCTGCCAACAGCGGCTATTTCAACAAACTAACCTCTTCACCTGCTTATTCAACGGATTTATTTTTTCTTATCCCCAGCTGCCATGAAGCCTCCTCCCTCATTGGCAAGCTCGTCACTGGGACCCCTGACGACGCCCCTCATCGGCATGGTGCTGGGGGCTGCCCTCGTGCTCGTCCTCGTCGTGGCCGTCGCCGTGGCCATCGTCAAATTCAGGTCCGGGGCGCCCAGCGGCTGCCAGAACACCTCCGTTAGGATACGCTCCACGTCCACATCAATAAGCGGTGAGTAATCATTAAAATCATAATCATCCCCCATACCCTAATAAAACCTCTAAAACCTATAACCAACCCAATTATGCGCAATGCGCCTTTTCATCTCCTACTGTCTTTTCCATTTCCCCTTCTTTCTGGCCACTCTGTGCCACCTATTGTTCTCTTCCACTCTTACATATAGTGACACCGCAACAACAACAACAAATCATAATCATCATAAGCATCGTTACGTACACAAGATTTGTCCGTCGTGTGGGTGAGTGTATGAAACTTCTATGCCCTGCAGTTATCTTAAAAAAAATGCAAAGACCTAAGCCAAAATTACGTGGGATACCCATGCATTGAGCAGGAACCATTGTCCATGTAAGCTCACGAGGTGGAGGTTTGCCAGCTATTACAAGTAAATGCATGTTAGACTAACTCATTTTAAAACTTCAGTGCATCATCATTTTCAACTTGTTTAATGAGTCGCAATCAAGAAATATTTTTTCATGACTCAATAATTATCTCGTTACGTATTCGCCCATGTACCGGTGCACCGTTGGTCCCCCGAATAAATATTCCAAAAAAATAAAATCGTTACATAAAGGGACTACAATGCATGTATAATTTTTAGACAGCTATTGAGTAATTTCACTGAACGATTTATTTTCATGTTTTTATTCATTTATGAATTTACTTGAACAGATTCTCCTGGGAACACGAAGCGTCGTTCGCTGCTGGACAGCGATGACTTGGAGAAACGTACCATCCTGGAGACTGAGGCAGCGGCTCCAGACAACAACCCGGACGTTATCCAGCCCCAGCCTGCTGCATGGAGCAAGGGTGAGTTGTGAGGGTGGAGTGTTGAATTATTTGCAAGGGTGAGTTGAGAGGGTGGAGTGTTGAATTATTTGCAAGTGTGAGTTGAGAGCGTGGAGTGTTGAATTATTGGCAAGGGTGAGTTGTGAGCGTGGAGTGTTGAATTATTGGCAAGGGTGAGTTGTGAGGGTGGAGTGTTGAATTATTAGCAAGGGTGAATTGTGAGGGTGGAGTGTTGAATTATTGGCAAGGGTGAGTTGTGAGGGTGGAGTGTTGAATTATTTGCAAGGGTGAGTTGTGAGGGTGGAGTGTTGAATTATTGGCAAGGGTGAGTTGTGAGGGTGGAGTGTTGAATTATTATAAAGGGTGAGTTGTGGGGGCGGAGTGTTGAATTATTAGCAAGGGTGAGTTGTGAGGGTGGAGTGTTGAATTATTAGCAAGGGTGAGTTGTGAGGGTGGAGTGTTGAATTATTAGCAAGGGTGAGTTGTGAGGGTGGAGTGTTGAATTATTAGCAAGGGTGAGTTGTGAGGGTAGAGTGTTGAATTATTAGCAAGGGTGAGTTGTGAGGGTAGAGTGTTGAATTATTAGCAAGGGTGAGTTGTGAGGGTGGAGTGTTGAATTATTAGCAAGGGTGAGTTTTGAGGGTGGAGTGTTGAATTATTAGCAAGGGTGAGTTGCGAATGTGAATGTTGTGAGTGGACTGTACGCGCATTCAACGGGCAGGAAAATCGGGTGTTCCTGATAGTTCGGAACTTTGGTCCCGAATTGTATGTATTTTGTTTGCTTTATGTGACGTCTAGCAGGACTCGTCTATAATTTACCGACGGTGCTACTCCAAATAATGAACATGCAAAATTAGCGTACATCTATTAATTGCATATTATTACCATAGTTGTGACTATGTTCTACAATCAGTTAAAAACCAGGGTGAAAAATGTAACAAGGTTCAAACAAATTGTTTATAATAAATTTAAGTTATTAGTAACTCTACGCATAAGATTTAACATTTGTTGTAGTTACTATAACTATTCATGTTGCACGCAAAAACTATTATATTGTAAATTTTTTTATCATATGTATACACACCTCCAATGGTCGTAGGTCGGTTCTGTTCGCGAGGTGGAAGTGAAGAACCGCTGTTAACAGTTCCAGCCTCTCCCCCGAACTCCACCCCTGCCGCAACATTGAAACATTCACGCACCTCCACGGCAAGTGTGGTGAGTGCCAATATTTAATGTTATTTTGATATTTACAAATTCATTATTCGTTAACTTTTACTATGAATTTGAAATGTGCACTAATTTTAATTAAAACTATGTTGAAATTAATAATTTTTACATACTACGAGTGACCTCATACCAATATATGAACAAATAGCACTGTCAGAACTTATAAAGTGTCGTTAAAATCATTACTTGTAAGCAATGTATGTATTACTGTCTATCTGCCGTTTACTTTCACTTACTCCAGCCTTGTATTTAGCTTTTTTGTTACTTAGATCAACTTTCTCGAGAACAAAAAATAATAAATACATAAATTTATACTAAGCATTAAAATAGTTGAAATAATATGCGGGCATTCGACTGATAATATGCGGATATTCAAAGCTACTTTGCGACTTATCTACTGACCTTTCGTGGTACTTTCATGTTGTAATGTTCGAATTCAACTAACCTATTTCATCTAAATAGACTCTTTCGAAAAAATTGCTAGTAGGGAAAACATCTTCATTCACCTTGCAAGCCTATAACGAAAGCATGTTTCATACCTGAACAGAACACGTCTTCGGACTACAGAGGCGGCTCGAAGAACGGCCGCGCAGTGAGCAGCAGCAGCACTTCATCAGAAAGTTTTGGTGCTGTCATCCAGCATCACCATCATCAGGACCCTCCGCCTCCCGCTCCATCCCGTAACTTGGACCCCGATGGTGCTTATGGTTCTTTTGGTCCTCAGTTCTCAGCTCAGTCTGAACGTTGCACGAGTCGCACTTCGCTAGACGACGCGTATGACGTCATGTATAAAAACAATGATCAGTATCGGTACTGTGAACATGATGCTTCAAGCCGCGATAATGACCATGCAGGTTTGTATCGAACGTTGCCCAGTAAACGGCAACAGCCACCCCAACCCGAAGCATGGAAACATGGAAATGAGGTTGAGAATTTCCGTGCAAAATCTAGAGATAATTCGTTGAATTTCATGTATGCTGCTGAAAATCCAATGAAGAGGAGAAATTCTAAAGAAAAAATTGATAATATTCAGAGGAGAATAGAAAAATCAATTCCGGCTACTTCCAAATCTGGTACTGGAGATTCACGCGCGGGAGGATTTCATGCCAAAAATCCTTTGCATGATCATTTACTGAAAATTGCTCCCAACAATGACAGGATACGAGTCCAAATTAAAGCTCATGATACGGAAGTGGTTTTGCCTTCAACGGACCGCGAACGCGAGAGTTCTGTCTGATGAGACACTATATTGAACAATTGACTTATTATAGTATCAAACATAGCAGAATTAACTAGATTACTCACATTCCCATACCACATATTTCACCAATAATTATTAAAAGTGTATTATATAAATTAGCAAGCATTTTTATTTTTATAATCCACAACGATGATCGCATTCAGCATGATTAATATTTTTATACCTTAAAATAGTATTCAAATGCAAAGCCACTTTTCATTTTTGATACCACGATCCTCTTTTACATTGGAAAGATTTATTTACCGTCAATATTCTAGTATAATTGCGAAAAAACGTAAAACTTTGTAATGGAAATATTTTGTCTCCACTTCTTAACGGGGATGAAATGCGAGACTAACGCTGCAGTTTTAAATTTAAAAGTTTTCCATGGAACAGACCCTTTTTCATGTCTGCAGCGTGGTCTAAATTTTTAATTTACAAAGTGTTGGCTCTGTAAAACGACGTCGCTGAAAGTGTCCTTCCATTGTATATACTCTAGCAACATTTATGAAATACGTTCAATAGAGGTGTTAATTTTTTATATTCGCGTTCTCACTAACAATGTTAGACATACAAATTTTAATATATCTTAATAAAGATTATCACTCTCGCGATCAAAATTAGTTGGTTTTTGCGGTTGTTAGGTTAAAAATTCATGCAATTAATTTAGAAATAAAATCAATCTCCTATGAAGCGAGCATCATCTTTGTTGTTGTGGATCAAGTAAGTATGCCAAACCAAAAAATATACTAAGGCAGGAAGTTATGTTGCTTTAATATAAAATTTAATTAAAGAAGATTGTTTCAAAAGACGGTACCTCATAAAGACTCGCGGAAGCTTTCCGTTTCTCATCGGTTAATTTTTCACGAAAACTATGCTGGAATACCTCGGTTCAAGATGGCGATTCCTTCAAAGTAACTCTTAACCTTATGAAGTGCAGATTAATGTATTTTCTTGTAAATAGCAGTATGAGAAAAACAAAGCACCAAGATCAGGTCTAACATTAGAGTTATTTTTGCCTAAAATATGTGTAGAAAATAGTAATACAATATGGACGTCTTCATTCTTTGTTTATCCTTTACGAAACCACTCACGATTTAAATATTAACGACACTTTAACATAATGATCAAAACTGCTGTTTATAAATCCAAGGATTTTATTAAATTATTCGAGCGTCGCAAGTGAACTTGAGCTCGGCCCTCTCACTTAGCAAACTAAAGTCAGTGAAACAATAAAAAATACAACTTATTTGTTTGGTTCCTGTGATTAAGTAAATGAATAAGCCAAGTGGAATCAAGGAAGAATATAAGTATGTATTTTGAATTTAAAAAATCCTAAGTTAGCATTAGTTCGAGATTAGATTTGATTAAAAGTCAGTAAAATTAAGCTGAACGACCAAAATTTATTGTTGCGAGATGAAATATCTGCGTTTCCTAAAACATAAAAACATTCATAACAAAAAAAACTTACGAGATTTTAAAATTACCGTACAAGTTTTTCACGATATTCTATGCACCTGCGACTAATAATATTTGGACTGTCATTACTATTCGGAAAGTATAAAACTCAGAATCGTGAAGATGCTATAAATGAAATAAAAATTAAACTTAATAACTTAACTATCAGTTGAAATAAAAATTAATCTTAATAACTTAACTATCAGTTGAAATATAAACACCAAGGCTCTTCCAGGTTAATAAAATTCGAGCTAGCAAGCAATTCAGCATCAGTTACACTCATAAATTACTAATGAAAACGAAAATTAAAACTAAAACAGTATTTTGTCGTTTTTCATTTGCTGGATTGTTGATGATATCGGGTTGTAAAACCCAATATCCTTCTGCTGTATTGTTGTAACTATATAGAACGTTATTCAACGTACCAAAGTGCAAACATAAAATTCCTATTTATTTGTACGACTTTATCAATTACCTTGGTCAAACGAAATATATCTTTGTTCTTTTTTATCTTTTCCGAGATCCAAAGACTCATATAAAAAGAAATTTAACGAAAGGCGTAATATTGAACATAAATGGGTTGCTAAAACTTGACCCAATTTGTTCCTAGTTTCCCGTAAATGCCACAGCGATGCCAACCTTTTCATCATCGAACGAAGAGGGGGAGGCTCCCGGATATTGCTGGAGGTTGTAATGAATTATTCAGCTTTCGGTAGCCATGCTGCAAAATTCATCGAGGGGAAACTTAATCGAATAATTAAATATATGTGTGGACATTTGTGCACAGCATGTGTTGGATATGTGCAAGCCACTCTCGCAATTTTCGAAAGTTCAATTCACAGCATGCGTAGAGAGAAATTTGACATTAGTTTTTACATTTAGATTCAGCATATATATCCCATTAATTGGCTCAGAACTATATCAAGGAAACTCTTCGGTACGTAGACTGGAATTTTTTGGCAATATCCCTATTGAAAATGACGAATTTGTCCCCCCTTTTACGACAATATCCCTATTTAGATGACGAATTTATCCCCCCTTTTACGACAATATCCCTATTTAGATGACGAATTTATCCCCCTTTTATGACAATATCCCTATTTAGATAACGAAAATTCTTAAGAAGGTTCTAATCCGACGGCGTCACAACTGTATACACTAACATCACTATATTCATTCTTCAACTGCCTACCAACCAAAATTCAACTACACAAACGCAAGCGAAGAAACCCTAATCCAAACTATCAAATCATTAATCAAACAGTGCAGGATTAATATTTCTTGTTACGGGAATAAGCGGCACCGTAACAAGAAAAGCGGTACGGGCAATTGTAACTTTCACAATCATCAATTCCAATTAGGGAGTCTATTGCAGAAAACTACTGGCTACTCCAGATTTCTTCAATAAAACTGTTGAATTCCAAAGAATGAGATAAACGGTGATAACTACTAGTTCTAAACATGCCTGGATATTTTTCTTGGAACGACAATATCCGTTTATACTGGTGGAAAAATTTCCACCTTCTTTACGTAGAAGACACTTTCCACGAACTTTATGTGGAAAATGACCATAAAATCTAAAAAATGGTGGATACTTGTTCAAAAATGGACACAAGTTCCAACGTTCAACATTTTCAGCTGCGTGAAATATCTACAAGTATTTTTTTAGACGAGGGAGGACAGTTTATGTGACCTCCTTACATTGTTCTATACATCCATATTTTATTGGATGGTGTTAAATGTTCTCAGAAGCAGCGGATAAGTGCAAAATTGCATCCCAATTTTAATTGATTTTGTGAACCTTAGTGGATGAATTTGAAATTATGAGTAATATTTTAAGCATATTTTAATTCAACAATCCCCAATACTATAAACGCAAACTTGTAAATGGCCGAAAGCATATGTAAAAGTCAACGATATCTTAATGAATATGACTAAATTGATAGCCCTATTCTTCAACTCGTCAATATCAAATTCATCCACGACATGTAGAGTTTTAACATGTGTTTACCCACACAGGTACCGCGAATTTTAATTCAAGAAATTGCGGCAAAAGTCCGAACGGATTTCCAATTCGGAGCAACACTTGCCCTGTCTGGAAGTTTAAACGAGATTTGCATGCCTGCTGGGCAGCTCGAGCATAACATTTTATCTAAATTTCTTGATTTAATCCAGAATTTATTTGCAAAATCTTGTTTCCATTGCCGGTTATATAGGGCCGGTGTCCGGTCGTTCCGTACAGATGCGAGATGAGGGCTTATAATAAACAACAATTCACACACACCAAATATATACATCTTAATAAATCGAAGAACTTCGGAACATTCGGTATATTTCATGTTCTACGCTTCCTTGACGACATATTGTAAAAATTATTTTAACAGGTAATTTTTCCTGAATATAGGTGATTGTGAAAACAATTTAAAAATCACCTTTTAATCTTTTGATATGGACGAAAAAGCAGATTTTTTATTTACCAGATACCACCACATGGTGAGGGGATAAGGTAAGAGTGCATTTGACGGGTTGTGAAGTGTATAGTCCATATTGGATAACACAAGCGCTCAGAGTAGGATGAAGTCAAGTCTTCGCGTAAAGATTACGTTCTGCCAAAAGGATTAGGACCGAAAACTGCTATGGCTTTTCTTTCAGAGCTCCAGCTCGGCAATAGGAGCAGAAAAACTTTCAAGGAACTCCAGAGAATTCTTCCGGATGACTTGGACGTCTTCGAGTGTCCGGAACAGCGGGCGTGTCCGGTAGCACAGACAATTTCTGTCTGCTTCCGTTCGATAGGCTGGGTAATCCAGGAACGAAATCGAGATGTACAAATTCATGCACATTATGTATTCGAGTTGCGAAAAAATCGCAACCATAGCTTATGTCCGGATTAAATGTGGATATTATAAGAGAATATTGAATGAATTTGAAATTATAATGGACATCAAGGGAGTTTAAAAAAGTGATAAAGTCGTGTAATTTTCAAAACTAAATACGACCAATGAGGCATCAACTGAATAGAAACTGATAACAAAAGTCTTCAAAATCATTGATAAAAACTAAACTGATCAAGGCCGGACGCGTTACTTGCAAATAAATCCAATCATGATGTTTATAACGAAAATATTTTGGCCAGACTAGTATATAATATGGGCGGTAATGAGTACTTAATTACAAGTACGAAATATAGAAAAATATGGCTCAAAGTAAAAAATCAGTAAAACTGGCATGATTTCACACAAGTTCAGGCGAGTCCTTTAAGTTCAGCATTAAGATCATCAAGTTAAGTTTTGCATGAACCTTAATTATATTATAGCTCATCTTACCCGCAAGGGTGACCATTTTCGGTCATTATTGAAATAAATCTATGAAGACATATATATTTTGAGTGCAGGAATATGTGAAAAATTAATTTGGTATTTTTCTGCTCATTTTAGAGCACTAATATAGGATTACTTAGGCACTGTGGAACCTCTTCACCTTCTAAATCCTGAGGGTCATCAGTTGGAGCCCACATCGGTGCCGTTTGAAATTCTCGTAGCCACTAAACGAGATCTTTTCATTCTGGTTATTGCCCTCCGAATGAAACCGGGATTTTGGGGCCAAAGTTTGTGTTTGCTGGCAAGCGGAGGATTGCAAGAAGACCTAGACGTCGATCTAAGGCCTTACTGCGCGTTGTGATATCTACGAAATCATAGAAAATGAAGTCGAAAAAATATTTTCTGACGTGGAAATCTGGTTCGTCTTGCTTGTGATGAAAAGGGTTCTCTCGATCAGTGCTCTCACTCCTGGTAACTTTCGATGTCTCAATGGGTATTAAATTAATAAATGATCAGGGCATCAATTTGCATGTAATTCAGATGAACGTTCACCGTTTCTACGTTTTTCGAAATTGAACAAAAATTCCAGGTGAATATATAGTTCCGTTTAAATACTGTAATGAACATGTCACTTCCAGTAAATAGCCCAATCTGTTAATTTTCTATCATTTTTCATTTTAATGTCATGAAATTCATAATTCAACAGACCTCAAATTGATCATTGATCTTCCATCATTTTCTTTTCACAAGCGTTAATTTAGTCGAATTCATACCATACCAACACGAACACAATTATCAGTATTAAAGTCATGTCGGCTGCAGATTAAGAGTGCAGTCAGAGCACTCAAGACAAGCACGCAGCAGACCTGTTACTAAGGCTTTTCCAATGTTTTTACTGCACTTCCACGGATTAAGAGGTAGAATTTCTTCAGATCCCAAGGTCTGTTCTAATCCTTCGTTATGAACACCTCGAGAAATAAAGGTCTCGAAGATTGTCGGGCGCACGTTTTTCGCGTAAGATCTCACTTCAATGTGTTCTGACCTTGGCTCTTCCGTGTAAACTCTACGGGAATTAGATGCCGTGTTCGCCACCCCGCGGGAAAACAGAGAAAGCTATCTGTCGTTAGGGAGCTTCTTCAGTCAGTTATTGAAGGCAACAGCACAATTTATTCACAAGGCTTCCAACACAGCATCCTGAGTTGTAATCTTTTAGCTCAACACGCATTATAGTAACTGTTGCAGGTTTACCAACGGCTTGCAAAAACGTAATGGCAAATA